TTGCGCGTCTGCGTGCCGAAGTGGCTCAACAGCGCGCAACCTTGGATCAGCATACGGCAGAAATGAACCAGCTCCGTGCCATAGCTGATCGCGAAGCAACTAAGATCGAGTCACTCACCGAGCTAGTACTCCAGCTGACCACCGCTCTGCAACGTCAGACCGCAGCTGTTCCTGACAGGATGGAACCACGCCTCAGCCTTCCAGAGAAGTGGGACGGAACCAGGGGATCCCCGGAGGGCATGTTGGCGACCCTGGCCATGACTTTCGAGTGCCAACCGGCACGTTACCCCACATCCTGCTCTCGTGTCGCCCTGCTGACCTCACTGCTGACAGGTCGAGCCGGTGAATGGGCGGCGGCTCTTTACAATCAGAAATCTCCTGCCTGCAATGACTATGAGACTTTTGTAAAGGAGATGAAAAAGACTTTTGTGCACCCCAGCAGCGAGGTCTCGGACGAGACGCGGCTGCTTCAGCTTCGCCAGGGCTCCCAAACGGCGGCTCAGTACACCTCTCGCTTCCGGACGACAGCAGCTCGGTTGAGGTGGGATGACGCCGCCCTAAAGGCCGTTTACCTGGAGGGACTGTCACCGAGAATCCGGGAGGGCATGATCGGGCACGAGGTCCCAACCTCCCTGGACCTGGCAGTGGATCTGGCTCTCCAACTGGACCGCTGCATCCTGAACCGGCCGAGCACCATGTCAGCCCCCGTACACACCAGGACGTCACCCCGCCGGCCGGCTCACCAACTGACGGAGGAGCCGATGCAGCTGGGACATCTTCCCCCTGAGGAACGGGCACGGCGCTACCAGGAGGGAAGATGCACTTACTGTGGGGATTTGGGCCACCACCGTGGCACGTGCCCAAAACGACCGGGAAAAGGTCCCTCCGGGTCGGAGTAGGAGCTGTCCCACCCGGAGTCTCCACCTTTCCGGCTCCACACCGAACCACTCTCCCGGTCTCCCTCCACCTGGACCAAGGCCCGACCAGACTGGAGGCACTTTTAGACACTGGGGCTGCGGAGTGTTTTATCGATCACGGACTGGTTACTCGGCTCAAGATACCCCTCACCGCCCTCGACCGACCCATTCCCGTGACCTCTGTGGACGGCCGGCCCATCATGCCGTACCCTCTCACCCACCGAACTCAGGGTCTCCACATGACTATTGACCAACACCGGGAGACCCTCCACTTCCTGGTCATCCAGGCTCCGGCCACGCCACTCATCCTGGGTCATTCCTGGTTCTGCCGCCATGAGCCTCACATCTCCTGGTCCACCAGTAAAGTCCTGGCCTGGGGCACGGGTTGCCATAACCACCGGGACTCCCCTGCACCTCGGACCAGAGCAGCCACTCCCACAGACGTAGACCTGACGCTCATCCCTCCTCAATACCACGACCTCGCTCAGGTCTTCGCTAAAGAACCCACTACCAGGTTACCTCCTCACCGACCCTACGACCTGGAGATCAGGCTCCAGCCCGGCACCACCCCCCCCTCGGGGTCGCCTGTTCTCCCTCTCTCCGGCGGAAACCCGGGCTATGGACAATTATATAACTGATGCCCTGCAGAAGGGATTCATCCGACCCTCAACATCCCCCGGGGCCGCGGGGTTTTTCTTTGTTAAGAAGAAGGAGGGTGATCTCCGGCCCTGCATAGACTATCGAGGGTTAAATAAAATAACGATCAGGGACCGTCACCCTCTCCCTCTCATGGGCACCGCTCTGGACGCCATCACACAAGCCGCAGTGTTCACTAAACTGGATCTGCGCAGCGCCTATAACCTCATCCGTATTAAGGAAGGTGAGGAGTGGAAGACCGCTTTTATCACGCCCACTGGCCACTATGAATATCTGGTGATGCCTTTTGGACTCTGCAACAGCCCCGCCGTCTTCCAGCGGTTCATTACAGATGTGCTGAGAGACATGTTGGGCCGCTGGGTCTTTGTTTATCTAGATGACATCCTCATCTACTCCCGCACGGCCGAAGAGCACATCCGTCATGTTCGAGCGGTTCTGTCCCGCCTCCTGGACCATGGACTGTACTGCAAACTGGAGAAGTGTGCGTTTCACCAGGAGTCCACCTCCTTCCTGGGTTTTACCATCTCCTCCCAGGGCCTGAAGATGGACCCCCAGAAGGTTCAGGCCGTAGCTCAGTGGCCTCTACCCACGACCCTGAAGCAGCTGCAAAGCTTCCTGGGTTTCTCGAACTTTTACCGGAGGTTTATACGCAACTTCAGCTCCCTCGCAGCACCACTGACCTCACTCACCAAAACCACCAATCAGCCTCGCCCGTTTCGCCTTACTCCAGAGGCTGTCCGTGCTTTCCATGAGCTGGTCGGACGTTTCACTAAGGAACCCATCCTCCTCCACCCGGACCAGACCCGGCCCTTCGTCGTGGAGGTGGACGCCTCAGATGTGGGAGCGGGGGCCGTTCTCTCGCAACGGGGTCCAGACTCTAAGCTCCACCCATGTGCCTACTTCTCCCGGAAGTTTTCCCCCACACAGCAGAACTACGGGGTCGGCGACAGAGAGCTGCTGGCAATAAAATGGGCGCTGGAGGAATGGAGGCAGTGGCTCCTGGGGACCACCGATCCCTTTCTGATCTGGACCGACCACCAGAATCTCATTCATCTACAGACTGCCCGGCAGCTCAACCCACGTCAGGCTCGGTGGGCCCTCTTTTTCGAGCCGTACCACTTCCATATCGCCTACCGGCCCGGCTCCAAGAACCTCAAGGCGGACGCTCTCTCTCGGCGTTTCGCACCAGATGCCGCCCCCCCGGAGCCTCGGACCATTCTGCCGATTCAACGCTTCCTGGCCTCCCTCCAATGGCCGTTGGAGCAGTCCATACAGGCGGCACTTCCTGGCGATCCAGCGCCGGCGGAGACCCCACCGAACCGTCTCTACGTTCCCGCCTCCTGCCGGCAAGAGGCGCTCACGTGGGGGCATTGTTCGCGGCTCGCGGGACATCAAGGACAAGCCCGTACCCTCCAGTTCCTCCGTCGGGCTCTCTGGTGGCCGTCCATGAGGAAGGACGTCCGCGAGTTTACAGCTGCATGTGATGTGTGTGCTCGCTCCAAGTCCTCCAACCGACCCGGCGCTGGAGAGTTGCAGCCTCTCCCTGTGCCCAAACGGCCGTGGTCACACATCGGGCTGGACTTTGTCACGGGACTGCCGGTGGTCGACCACCTGGACACTATAATGACTATCACGGACCGTTTCTCCAAGGCCGTGCACTTAGTGGCCCTGGCCGGCCTCCCCACTGCCAAGAGAACGGCCGAACTGCTCCTGGAACAGGTGGTGCGGCTCCATGGTTTCCCTCAGGACGTGGTTTCCGACCGAGGACCCCAGTTCGTCTCACGCTTCTGGAAGGCGTTCTGTCGCCTGGTCGGTGCTTCCACCAGTCTGTCCTCTGGATACCATCCGCAGACAAACGGTCAGACAGAGAGAGCTAACCAGCAGCTTGGACGCTACCTGCGCTGCTTCGCTTCATCCCAGCCGACCACCTGGCCCCGCTTCCTCCTGTGGGCGGAGCTGTCACACAACCTCCAGACCTCCTCTGCCACGAGTCTGTCTCCCTTCGAGACCTGTTACGGTTATCAGCCTCCTCTGTTTGATCATCAGGTGCCAGAGGTGGAGGTTCCTGCTGCCCAGACGCTGGTCCGCCGCTGTCGGCTCGCCTGGATCCGGGCCCGTGCGGCCATCACCCGGGCCAACACGGAGTATGCCCGTCAGCATCGCCGCCGCCACCGGCCTGGCCCCGTCTTCCGGTCTGGCGACCAGGTGTGGCTCTCCTCCGCTAACCTGAGGATGCCGGCTGGCTCCCGGAAGCTCACTCCTCGCTTCCTGGGTCCGTTCCCTGTCCTCAAGGTCATCAATCCAGTCACCTGCCGTCTACGCCTCCCGGCTACTCTCCGGATCCACCCGGTCTTTCACATCTCCCAGCTTAAGCCGGTGATCTCCTCTCCTCTCCACCCTCCACCGGTCCGGGTGCCTCCGCCCCGCGGTGTTGAGGCGGATCGCACCTACACGGTCCGCAGGATACTGGACGCCCGCCGCCGGGGACGAGGTTGGCAGTACCTCGTGGACTGGGAGGGGTACGGGCCTGAGGAACGCTCTTGGGAGCCCACGAGCTCGTTTGTCGATCCTGCCCTGCTAACAGACTTCTGGGCCCGCCGTCCTGGGACTTCGGGTGCCGTCCCTAGAGGGGGGGGTCCTGTCACGAACTCCTCCAGCTGACTGCATTCCATTCATTCCTGCCACTAACGTGGCGACTGACGTCATCACGCCGACACTACTTAAGGAAGTGCCGGCGTTTCATTCATTGCTCAGTCATCGTTCTCACCAGACTTTGCATCGAGTCTCCAGGCTTACCAGCCCTCTAAACCCTCAAGCTACACCTACAGGAAATAACCACGCCGGTTATCTCCGTCTCTCCGCGTCTGGGCAACAGCACTCTCAGTCACGCTTCAGATCTGCCAACGAACCTGACACAGAGCCTGGTCCGCTGAGACCGGAGGTGGCCCGGCCCATGTTTAATGTCCCATTTGAACTGAATACTTCAGTGATCATTAATCACTTATCTCATGAATGTGCATGTGTGAGTGACGCCTTTTGTGGTTCAAGCGGATTCTAAAGGTCTTGTGGGGATAAATGCGAGTGGTGGCACTCGGCTCATTATGAGGAAACCGCTGAGGACAAATCCCGACCGTGGGAGCTGACCAAACGGACTAGATGTTTCACTTCCATGTTCCAGGAGACAAACCAACAACACGAAGCCGACTCCTGAAAGCAGACTCTAAATTCTCACTTCTGATTCGTTCCTCTGAAGGGATCATTAACAGAAAACCTATCCACACCACACATCTGAGGCTTGCAGGACTCAGCAGGTATCAAATCAAGGTTCTTGAGTCTGAAGCACCAACAACCCATCTTCAAAAGCTCCGTTTCCTTCTCTCTATGCTGCGATTTCCACACAATATTTTAGTTTGGCGCTGCTCTTACCTTCCTGTAAACAAGCATGTTGGGGTAGTCGTCATCTGGATCCACGTTGCTCATGGACCTCATGGAAAGCAGAGGCCGAGCTGGCTTCACGACCTCATCTGGTTCCTCTGACTCTTCATTGGGTTCAGTGGTCTCCACAGAGCAGGGCAGCTGCTCCTCTTCCTCCTCCTGCTCCTGCAGCTGCTCATCCTGAGGAGCTTCAGCCATCGCCACGGTCTCCCTCTCAGTCCGTACCAAGATATCCTTCCTCTTATATGTCTTCAGAGCTCCGTCCTCAGATTGTAGAGGATGCTGCAGGGCAAGACAGATGGATGAATCAGACCTGGTGGGTTCCTGTGTTCCATCAATCCCTCACCTCCTGCTGTCAGGAGGATCAGGATGGATGAAACAGAGGAGTCATGCATTCTTCTGGTTTTCTGCTACATCCATCTACTCCTCCTGGTCCTCCATCACATGATGCACGGTGAGCAAACACCATTCCAAAACCACTAAAAAAACAACCCTCACATGTAATGAAATTCAAATTAAAAGAAAACATTGTTTATTTTTCCCAAACTTAAACTTCTCTAACTTTAATTCCCATTAAATCAAAGCATTAAGTGACTCTGTGATCTAATTCTAACAATAAAAATCTGTTGTTTCTTACTTTACTCCATCATTATCCATTGTTGCTCGGAAACAGCCGCACTCAGAAAGTGAACGCAGAACCAAAATAGATCAAATTTAGATTTAAAGCATGAAAACATCCCATCATTTGTCAGGAGAAACACCTGAACACCTGGTCTCAGCATCCAGAACCTTAGACGTTCGTGTCTGCCCTCAAAAGGGTACAATTTACAGACTTTAAACTAAAAACGGCGTCGTACGAGCGGAGTCATCCGCTCACACATAAAAGTGAAAACGCTTGTAGGGTCATCATATTTTACCACGATCTTAATAAATTAGCATCAGATCTAAAGGAAGACCATACATGGACAGCTATTAGATTTTAATGGACGGAGAATCTTTGATCACCAAAGTAAAAACACGTTTAAAATAATTTTTCTAATACATTTCATTTTTATAATGGAACAAAAATAAATGAAAGTTTACTCATTTATAAAAGTATAACCGATTTTTCTTTATTTTAAAATAAAATATACAAAATAAACAAAATATTATCATCAGATCATCTTTTGATCTCCTTGACAACCAGATACTTTAATTGCACGTATTTTTATTAGGGTTTTTTAAAATTATATTTCATTAACTAGAAATATTACTGTAACTTGATCCTACAAGATTTTTACTCTGGTGTAGAGGTAGACCAATATATCGGGCCGATATTGCTCATTCTCATAACAGCATTGGCCGATATCTTGGTAAAACTGAACAGGCACATCCATTGACTACCCGATGCTGCTGCATAATACATTTTAAAAGTATATTTATGTTCCTGAATAACAACTGCATAATAAATGCTCCGTCATCCATTTTATATAGCAGTTGAATATTTAAGACTTGGTACGTTGACTGGTTTGTGTGATTAACTTTAGTCAGATGTCTGGTTTCAACACAGAGCAATACACACAATTAAAAATGAACAGCTGGTTAAATTCAGTGTTCAAAACCTGATTGAACAGCAGAAATTTTGTGCATCAGCTTGTGTTTTTGGTGACATTTTAGCATTTAAATAAGGCAGAAAAGGTCTAGATATTGGCCATAACAATTGGCCCAAAAATCAGCGGCACATGTCGGCCAATGGCTGTCCATGACCTCTACATATTGATAACATGCTAAATAATGATTATAGCCACAAAGAGCTAAATCACAAGAAAATCAATTCATCTGTAAGTGCGGCTCGTATGTTTGAGTTGAAGATGATCAGCTCGTGTGGGGCTTGTTTTCTTTTTTAAGTAGATGTTAAATATCTTTCTGCTGACTGCATTGCGTTGTTTAACTCATTCACTGCCAATGACAACAAAAGTTGTCACTTTAAATCCAACCGTTCACTGCCAATGAAGTTGTCATTTGCATTTTTTTTTACTGTGTGGGCGTCGGAAAGAGCCCCCACACCATGAGAACAAACATCTCAGCTCTAAAGCCGATCTTCATCCGCGTACGTCACACGTCACGTGATCAGGAAGCAGAAAATCCATGTGTTAGGAGATCATTTTGGGCCGCTGCTGTAAAAAAAGTGAGGCGCGAACTGGAAAAGCTTCTGCCGATCACAATTCACCAACGGATTATGAAAGAACGGATAACGCTCGAAACGCGCGGATTCTTCCTGATGTAAGAGGTGCGTCTCCGCTTTGTTTTGGTTGTTTTGCCGTTAACATCATCCCAGCGCGACTCTTAAAAAAACAGTAAAAACTGAGAAACGGTGAGAAACGCTGGCAGCGAAGGCCTTTAGCGATCAGGAAACGGCTGGCAGCGAATGAGTTAAAGTAAAATGCAACAGCATCTGTGCGGTTTAAGTGATGATAGTTGTCTGATTTAGAACATAAACATTAGAACAGTTATAACAGGTTTGAGATGGTTCATCTGTATGTCCGATCGGGGGGCTGGGGGTAATCTCGCCTCAGGCACCTAATTGGGTAGAGCCGGCCCTGGTAGCACTTCAAAATCAATTCTGTCATCAGCCAGCGGTTTGTTGGTCTGAATTTCTCGGAGATGGTCCGTGTTGTGGTGGGCACAGGAGCCTCGAAGGACGGCATCTTGAGAGCAAAGGAAAATGTGGCATTTGTTTGCAATTGCAAATCAAAGAAGTGCTGAAAGCATCTTTGAATTAATGGCTTCCAATCTGCTGTCTTTATTCCAGACACACCATCTGTTTTGTCAGCAGCTCACCCTGATGACAAAATGCCTGAGGGGCTTCCCTGTAAAGCTTAAATTCACACGCAGGTTGATCAATCCTCCTCCTGGGATTACACGCACCCTTGTAAGCCCAGATCAATACCACCTGATTGGCTCCGGTTTTTTACTTGGCATGAGTGAAATGTTCTGGCTGAAAAATCACATTTTATCAGCATGTTTTACTCTGGTGGCGTCTTTCAGGTGACATTTAGTCAGAGTTAATTGCTTTAAAAACATTTCTGGTGACAATTTAAAGATGAAAGAGTGTCAGTGAGAAACAAACAGCGATTAATCCTGTATTCCTGGTTAGAGACGCTTTGATTGCAACAGTTCAGCTGATTTCAATAATTAGAACAAGAAAACTTAAGATTTCATTAAAAAATATACTCCTTGATTCAAACATGAGCTTTTTTCTTTTAAATCCAAAATTACAAACAAAAACAGCTTCTTCTCGAGACACGATGGTAAATAAGCATTAAGAGATAACTCGTAAGAAAACCAGAAGATTATAGAAATAAAATCACGGGGAGTTTCGTCACCTGCGTGTTTTTATCCAAAGACCACATGCTGATTTAGCAGCAGGTGAATACAGATGGAGCTCTTTTCCCTATGGACCCTCCACAGTGCACCCATTACCACCACCACCAGCACCGCCACACCCCCAGGCAAGTAAAAATGGCTGCCTGGTTTAGGCAAGGCAAGGCAGCTTTATTTCTATAGCACATTTCATACACAGGGGCACTTCAATGTGCTTTCCATTAGCAAGAACATTAAAATCAACGTGACAGAAAATACTATTTAAAAATGTAAAAGAAACAAAGTTAAAGGGTGAGCAAATACAACGCAGAAGGTACAGCATAAGAACATTTATCCCAAAGGCAGATGAAAACATGAAGGTTTTCAGTTTTGTTTTAAAAGTCACTAGAATTCAGGTACATTTGAGGTCATGGGGAAGCTGTGTCCATCTGTGAGCACCATAGTGGCTAAAAGCAGCTTCACCTTGTTTGGTTCTGACCCAGTTGTACCAACTGACCGCTTCCTAAGGATCTCAGAGCCCTGCTGGGCATAGATATCTGATGGAGATCTGACACGTATTCTGGCCCTAAACCACTGAGTGATTTATAGATTAGTAGAAGTGGTTTGAAATGGATTCTGTAGTTTACTGATAATCAGTGTATAGATTTAACTCATTCACTGCCAACGACTTGCCCCTTTCACAGATAAAAATCACAAGGTGCTTCACATTAAACAGAAAAAATATGTTAACATAAACATGAGAATAAGAGAAAGTTTTAGGTATATCTATAAAAGAACAACCTGACTAAAAATAAAACAATTGTCAAATCATGCTTTTATTTATTAAGCAAACCCGGAATTGTGAAATCTGCTCTCTAACAAAAAAATCCCGAAGAGAAAAGGCTCATTTCCACGTCCGAAACAACCGGCTAATTTTACCAGATATTCGCAGAATACGTGTCTTCGTCACACCAGGCGGCCCAAAAGACTGTTTTCTACGTGTTTTCAGAAACCCAAAACTACCTGAACTAGAATTTGTATTTGAAAAGGCCCGTAGAGTTGTTGGGTGGGACTTGTCTATAACGAATGCTGATTGGTTGCAACTCGGTAAGACGTTAAATTGGCAGACATTGCCAAACTACCAGCTAAATTAGAAGAGTTGCTGGTGACGCTGAATGAAGGTTAAAGAAAATAAGCCATGTTCGCGCTGCTTTAAAATCACATTTCTAAACTTCCAATGCCAGAAAAAGCAGAAGCATTGGACATCACTTTTTAAGTCCCTCATCCCCTGAATGGATTAAATCATTATTTACTTTGATGGAATCATCTTTTTTAATGTCATTAATGTTCGTGGACACCTTTTGGCGCTGATCAGTGACATCACTCACTGCTGATGCAGCCTGAATGTGCCGGCTTCTCAGCAAAGTCCTAAATGAGCCGATTTCATGGAGACAAAGGCTGAGATGACCGAGCCAGTATATTATCCATCACCATCTCCCAGAAAACCCTTCAACGTGGTTGAATTAAAACAATCCTTGAAAGGAGAATCACTCACAATGACGCGAGAATCTCTTTAGCAGTTACCACACATGGCTGATGATAATTGTTGCCACTAAAGGGGGCCACAGGCAGGCAGTAAAGGTAAAATATTTAAGTATTCTACAATGACATATTAACAGAACAGTCTAATGTCTCAGTCGTGTTGGAAGGAAGGTTGCAGTGACACAGATTTCATTGAGCAAATGTTTGAAAAATGCAACAATGCCGTTGCCTAAAAGACCGAGAGGGCGGAGCCGCTTACAAACACACACACACACAGGCTCACAACGGCATTGTGACATCATATGGTACCAGCTAAAAATCTAGGGTACCTCTTAGCCAATAGCGATGGCAGATTTAAATTCAAATGCAGTGCAGAGTTTTACGTGACAACAGCACAACACTTGACAGTTTTAGGCAGAAAATTAAAATTTTAACTAAAATGCACTAAAGTGCAAAACTATTAACGACACTTGTCTGCAGCACGATTAGACACGTGTTTATATAGTTTATCAGAAAAAAAGTTGATTTGGGGGTGACTTGCTCTTTAAAGAGGGACGTAGTCGCTCAGTGCATTTACATGAGTCTCAGATGAGCAAACTATTGCCCTTAAAATAGTGATGTATGTTTTTTTAAACGGGTTAGTGTTGCTGGAGGCAAACTGGTTGTAATTGTGCTGACGCATCCTGATAGCGCCATAGGAACCTGACTGCATCTGCATGTAAATGGCCGCGTCGTAACGCTGGTTACTTCTGGACCGCGGAAGCAGTCTTCTGATAATTTCATCGCCACAAAGTAACACGTGGAACACCAAATCAGCTGTGTTGCAACATTGTTGTTGGCCATTCCTTTGGCCACTGTGCTTATTCATTTTTAACTCCGTCTGCTTCACTCCCACGGCCGCCAGCATTTCTTTACTAGTTGTGATGCTATAAGCCAGCTGGAAGAATGCCGTCACGAAAGGGCGCACGTCGCCACCTACTGTACCTGAGTGGAACAAACTTCTTTGAGAGTTTGGTTTTTTTAAATACGTGGAAACTAGGATAAGGCTCCCAGTTTGTTACTTTAGATCAACCTAGATCGACTTAGATGCACATGTAAACAGTCTGTGAACCCGTGTGGTTGCAGTCCCCGCCAAGCTAGCGCTGCAGCGCCAGAATTTATTATTCAACATCGACCGGAAAAATGCAGCCGGTTTTGTAAAGACCCTAGCCCAGTAGCTAACAGGAGGAACCCAGAAGTTATTTCTTGTAACCCTAAGAAGCCATGGCATTTTTCCATTTTTCCAAAATCAGGTGAAGCAAACTAGAGGCTAACATTGAGCTAACAATGCTAATGGTGAACTAGATAAAAAACAGTTGGCTCCTGAAAGATGCTCCATCCATGGGTTTTAGCAGCTGCTGCTTCAGCTCTTTCAGAATCTTTTGTTGGTGCTTAATATTTCAGGAGTCCAAAATTTTATTTTGATTTTTTAATAGATTCAATAAGAAATGTGAACAACACGTATCTGTTTAGCTTTATTGTGACATCATAACATCGATAAACAGCTTTGTTTCTTGGTGAGTCTATACATTGAGGTGGTTTTTTAGTTTTCATCTTTAGCTCAAAAGATATTAAAAAGAAAATACCTGAATATTTTTGAGACAGTATTTAAAAGATTTATCAGAGCTGGCCAATATTTATATTTAATGACCAACTGGTCTGTGAATGCAACCTTTCCGAGCAGCAATAGAAAATCTTAGAGATGCTCCGATCTGATCACATGATCAGAAATCAGCCCGATCGCGTGTTTTCGAAAGAATCAGAATTGGGAGAAATAAATCGGATTTAACCTTTTAAAGCAAACATGAATTCAAATAAAAATTACTTAGTTTTAATTTCAAAAATTCCCACTACATCAGTAACATTTGTTTCTTGTACGAAAACAACACAGTAACGTCACACAATTTACAGCAGGCAAGAACTCAGACACCAATTGCCGCTGTTAGCAAGCCTGCTAACACAGAGCTAGCGTGTCTCCACAGGAGAGCTAAGATATCTGCAGCTTGGTGGTATTTTAAACCGGACAGCAAAGGCAGAGCTACAGACACTTGTAATGTGTGCATACTGAGAATTCAACGTGCTAGGCACAGCTCCATGATTCACTGTCTTCAAACAAGCTACTTTCACTGTCGGCTTTTCCCGGGCAACAACAAAGCAAATCACCGGTCTCCTTTAACCGCCAGTTCATCTCTGAGCCAGCCGACAAGAGAAAGTTACGCTAATAAACTAAGAGAAATGCTGGCTGGACCCTGCTCCCCGTGCTGCGCGCTGCCTGCGTCGTCACATGAACACGGCTCACAGCTGCATATTGAGGGAGTAAAAAACTTGAAAAAAGAGCAACGCTGCTACTTTTAATTATATTCACAATATAAACATATTTTTAATTGGTGTACTACCTAAAAAAGAAAGTTAAACTTAAAGGACAATTTGATGTGTTTTCGTCTTATTTTAATTAGGGATGCACGAGTGCCAATACCAATACCATTACCAGTATCGGTAAAAGTTAACCGATACCAAGAACCGATACCAATGCAGTTGCTTGAAAATGGCGTCACTGTAACTTGTCATTTCTGTTCGCCTAATATTTTAGTTTTGTGATGATTTTCATTCATACATTTCACTTTTTATCTACCTCAAAGTCTTTTCATGTTGAAAGCAGAGAAGAAAATAAAATCTGTATTCCAAATCATTGCATTTTTTGGTGTGGTGGAAGTATCGGTATCGGTAATCGGCATCGGCGAGTACTCAGATCCAAGTATCTGTATTGTATCAGTTTAGAAAAAAAGAGGTATTGTGCATCCCTAATTTTAATGCTTTCTTGATGTTTTTCCCCCATTTTTTTCTTATTTTTATGCTTTGCTAAAAAAAATCATTTTTTCTTCTTATCTTAGCGCTTTTCTGAAAAGTGTCAGATCAGGACTCGATATCAGCAGTTGCTCAAATTCAAATGACTCGGAATCAGCTCGGGAGCAAAAAAAAAACGAGATTGGAACATCCCTAGAAAATCTGTATTTTTCTGCCGTTGTCGCCATCAGATATTCTTTTTGGAAGTTTTTTGCTTCCAGGATCACTAACTTAAAGAAACTGGTGGGGGTTATTAGTTTCGTGTTATTTATAGGTCTGTGAGATAAATCGGCATCAGCGCTCAAAGCTGCGGGAAAAGAAAAATCGGAAATGGGTATCGGCTCTCAAAATCAGAATCAGTGCCTTTAAATTTGGAGCTTAGAAACTGGAATATCTTAATCTGTCCTCAGGAGGATCTACTCCCGGAAAATACACGCACGCGCACACACCTTCCATAGTACGCACATGTAGTCTACAGCGTGAACTCTCCTCCCACGCATCCCAGTAAATCCCGCAGTGAGATAACACACGTCAAGTGTGACTTGGAGCAACACGAGTCCCTTCAATCACAAGTGAGCTGTGACCACACTCCGGAGGCGCGCGCGCGCACACACACACACACACACGGCTGGAGCACCATCCAACATCCCGCCGGCGCATCTCCATCCCCGCCGCGCTCACAGCGCCGCATCCACCCAGCTTTTAATTCATCTTTACTCCAAAGAAACTCATCAGTCTTTCCCCTGTCCTCCTTACCTCTCAGCGCCTGCTGACGTTCATCCGTGGCTTCGGAGCTCCGGAGACGAGGAGCGTCTTCACCACCGACCCAACAAATGCCTGAGAGAGGGAGAGAGGAGGGGGAGAGAGGGAGGAGGAGAGCAGGTCTGAGTCTCACATTAAAACACACACACACACACACACACACACACACACACACACACACACACACACACACACACACACACACACACCAAAAGTAAAGAATGCATAGAAAAATCACCCAAAATGCAAAACTGATTTTAAAAAATCAGTATTTTGTCCTTTTTCTATTAAAAAATCCATCTTTTTATTTAATTAAACAATTCCACCTCTTAAATTGGATTAAACCTGCATTATTTGATTAATCTGGACCAGAAACAGGACAGACCAGCCCTTTCCTACAGTCATTTTGTGTTAGGGTGCTGACATGAGCAGCAACCTGAAGGCTCCTCACAGGGTTCAAAGAGCTCAAGGTTCCAGACTTTTCCTTAACCCTTACCTCACATTAAAGTATTTTTTGTGTGCTGACACGTGTATTTTTGTGAATAACTTTGGCTATGTTAATGCAATTTATCTAATTTTTGGGAGGATGTGTATTTTTGAAGATATTACTAAAAATAGTTAGAAAAAAATCTTCAACTCCCTTTATTATAACGCAGAATTTGTTTTGTGGCGTTAAGCATCTTTCTGCATTTTTTTGCGCCATTGACTTCCATGTAAATCATAGTTTTTATAATAAGCATAAATATTAGCATAATTTTTTAAAAATATTATTCTGTCTGTGTTCCCAGACCAGTCACACATTCAATGTTTAGTTTTTACCATTTTCCACTAGATGACTTATTTTCTCCATATAGCAGGGCAATGACTGACACTGCATTTGAATTGAATGATTCTGCTGTATTTCTTTACCTCAGACTGTCCATTATAATACATATTTTACAAAAAATGGTTTGTGTGTTATTTAGAGATTCCATACAATAGTTTGCATGTGTGTGTTCTGAATTTTTGGTAATTGTGTTTTTGCAGTGTGCCTTAAAAAATAAGCCTTTACTGAAAGTAGAAAATCTGCTCATTCTCAAAATGGCATTTTGACATGTGTCACTCTGTGTGTGCTTGTGCAGGCATGCATGCATGCAGGGATGAAAGCACTTTACAAATCTTCAAAAGACAGATCTGTGATCATTATTTGGAGTGGTTGTGCAGGTGTTGGCAAGGGGAGTGTGTGTGTGTGGGGGGGGGGGGGGGTGAGGTCCTCATGCACACTGTTGAAATCATGAATATTCATCAAAGGCATGCTATATATAAAAAACAAAGGATTTTCTGCAAAATTTCAGATACTCGCAATTTTACTTTTGCAAATTGTTATTTCAACAAGCACATAGCATTTACATGGATGAAAATTAAGATGAAGGCTGAAAAACTTCAAAGGCGTACATTTGTTTGGCAAAACAAATTCTTGCAGAGCTGAGTTTGTTTACATGGAGTTGGGGTCAGTTTACACAGTTGCACCAATTGACTAAAAGTACATATGAGACTCAGATCCGGATTAATGTCTTTCTGCCGCAAGCATGAGAAGAAGTTTAGACACAGATCAAGACCTGACATCAGGAGTCTCTGTCGGCCTCACACTTCCACCGTCGAGGGATCACCCGCTTCGCGGACAGCTTCAATTTTTTTTTAACAATAACAATCCTTGATGCAATAATTAAACACACTAACATAGAGGGGAGGAGAAAGTATGACAACTGGACGGATGTTGATGACGTGGAACTCTGCGCATTCCTTGGGCTGCTCGTCCCCGCTGGGGGTGCTCTGTTCCTGGGGGAATCTGCTGCAAGCCTCTGGGGGAAGGAAACTTAGAGGCCGATTTTCAGAGCCACAATGAGCCTGCGAAGGTTCCATTTGCTGACGGCAACGGTGCGATTTGATGACCGCTTGAGGGCAGCACGCCGGGTGGTGCAGCAGTACAAGCTCGCTCCCCTCCGGGAGGTGTGGGCCGGCTCCCTCTCGCCTAAAACCCCGGTGAAGATGAGTGTGTGGATGAACAGCTTGTCAGATTCAGAGGTTGCTGCAACTTCCAAGTAGTATATGCCCTCAAAGCTTGCAAACTATGGCATCAAGCTGTGGGTGGTGTGCGATGTGGCCTCTTATGCCTGGGGGATTATTCCCTACCTGGGCAAGATGACGCGAGATGCCCCGGCAGAAAGGGAGCAAGGGACTGAGTGGCTGCACTGTCACCATGGACAATTTTTTCACATCACTAGCCCTTGGAGAAGAGCTGCTCCAAAATAAAATGTGTCTTGTGGGAACAGTTAGGCGCATCAAGCCAGAGCTGCCCCCACAGCTGCTGCAGACGAGAAGCAGAGCGGTTCTGTCCTCCCTCTTCGCCTTCACCTCCATCTCCACCGCGGTGAGCTACATACCAAAGTGCAGGCTTGCATGCACGCTTTTGCAGAAAATGTGGACAGGCAGTGTGCGAGGAGCACTTATCAGTTGTGTGCTTAACCTGCAGCTGTTAGCTCTCTCTCTCTCTCTCTCTCTCTCACACACACACACACATACACACACACACACTTTTTCTTTGTTCATGTGCTTTAATAAAGTGTTCAACTGGCCATCTTTGCAAGTGCATTTTTTTGTGCTCTAATGACTTTAACATGAGTATTTTAGAAAATATGACATCACACAAAAACTACAAAGTGAGCAAAAAATATTTTTATGCTTATTTGTGACACTCCAAGGCTGTGACAACTTACCCACAAAAAAAGGTCATCTGGACATAACACACAAAAAATGATTTGATTTTTTCATTTTTTGTACAGTTTTCAAACTTCTGGTTTTGATAATAAACCTGGCAATAAAGGGGTTAAATCTGAGAAACACACACATTATTTTATTGTACTTTGTTAGGGCTGAAGCCAAGGATGAAATTCATGTAAAAAAATTGGGACTTATGAAATATATAATATTTCTATGGGAAGCTTTCTAAGTGCATTTTTTGTGCTCAAATGACGTTAGAAATTTTAAACGTTGGGTAAGGGTTAAAATTAAAATTCAGTTTGGAAAAGCAGTGGGGAACCACATTCAGGTAAGGAAAAGCACCTTTGAAATCATTATGGGCTTCAATTTTTATCTTTAAATATTTTTGCTCAGAAGAAAATGAAAGAAACCAATTTTCAAAGTTGGAAGTTTCGTGCTCTTTGCTAGAATTTGACTCAATGTTCTTGTAAAAGAGGTGATTTTGTTACACAATTGGGCCTAAAATGGTGGAAACTCAGCAGAAAGTCAGAAACTGGACCTGGATAACTTAAAATAAAACTCACAGGCAGATGAAGAGCTGCTCCAGTGTTTTTTTAAGTTTCATTGACAACAACAAATAAAACCAAAAGCTGCACATTTAAATGTAAAATCCATTAGAACAAACAGCAGCCTGCTACTCAGAGGGACTGATGGATGATTAACAGCAGGTGTGGCAATCAGCTACAGGTGTGATGCTGAAAACAGAGGAGGTCATTTTGAATTAACTTTATTGGTACTGAGCTGGGAGTTGGCGTGACTCGTCCTGCAGACCTGAGTAGATTTGCTGGCCAGCAGCAGGCTTCAGCGTCATAGACATCTTTTTTCTTTTAAATCCTGAAGCTTTGATCTGGTCTGCCCGCCCCAAAAGCCTCCATGTTCAGGTGCAACGAAAGCTGGAGACAAGGACCAGGCTGACTGAAAATAAACACCTGCTACATATTAAATACCAGAACAAATAAGAGGCACAACAAAGAAAAACCTGCATGAGAAAGACTACCGCTTAAATAATGGAGGTTTTGTTTGTTTGACTGCTTTTAACAGATTTTCATTCAGTTTCATCATCACATGGGATTCAACTCGACTTATTTTCATTTTTCACGCTTTCCTTCCATCCAGTTCAGTTTTAAAACACAGATATTTAAACCACCTACTTTTGTCTTCTCTATTTGATCATGCAGCCTTTCTTTTCTGGCTCACCTTCTTCTGAGGAAAGGTCTCCGTCATCCTCGGTCTTATTAATTTAATACATTAGCTTTCTGTTAATGGATGAAATTTGTTTCAGTTAAACGGACAAAAAAGAACAATTTTTAAGGATTTTATTTCTTTAATGGGATTATTTCTTAAAGACAAACCTGCTTCATTAAATCTCAAACATGCCTTCTGCCCTCTAGTGGCAGATAAAAACACTGCAGCAGGCAAGTGCCAATTTTATCCTGTTAGTTTTGGTCTTTACGTAACGTAAATTTTAAAACTGCAGAAAAATGTTAATAATTTCCTGATTATTTAGCTTTAATGACATGCAGGAGTGAAATTTGCTTTTAGGTGATTTCTAGTTCTCTCTCGGAGATCTGATGCCGTTTAGAGTTGCTAATCTCAGTAAAACCGGATCAGTTATTCTTCAGTAACCAGCTAACTAAACAGAAACAGCTGTGCTAATACTACAGCCTGTTTTCTTATAAAAGCTTCTGTAATTTTACAGAGACGGGTAACTCATGAGCTGGCAGGATGAATACATTTGACTCACTTAAGCTTTTGTACTTGTGTGGTTTATATCTGAGATGCATAAAACGGATCACTGCTGGGACAAATGTGTCTGCGGGCTTTAGATAGGCAACATTCTCTGGATCATACATTCTCTTTTAACTTCTTTCGTCTTCACTTTTCAGTTCATCCCAAAGTAATCTTCCCAATTTCTCATCCTGAATGTGTGCTCAGTTTACAGCTGTGAACCACGGAGCCCAGCGGCTGAAGTCCTTGGCTAATGGGGACTTTGGCCGAGCATCGAAGCACATCAAAGCCTCTGATGCAACGATGGACCGACGGAGGAAACTGGGTGATCACCAGTCAGGAGGGGCTGCCCACCATCTCTACAGCGAGATTTTTTCACCACTGATGCTGCAGACTAAAAATATTTGCTGTCCTAGTTCAATAAGCTACTATTGGGACGAGAAGCGAGGGGCCAGCGAGCTTCAAAAGCCACAGCTGGGTCTCTCTTTTAGGACTTCTGGTGTTCATCTGTGAGCGTGAAAATGGGGGAGAAAAAAAAACATCATGGGAGAAAATCTGCTTAAAAATCAATACGTGCACTCGAGCTAACAGGCGTCAAAACTAAATTGATACTAATGGACCAATCTGTTCACACACACACACACACACACACACACACACACACACACACACACACACACACACACACACACACACACACACACACACATGGATGGAAGCCAAAACATTCACTTTGGACTGAACTACTGTGCATCAGTAAACAGGAAGAGGAGAATATTGGAGTGTGTGTGTGTGTGTGTGTGTGTGTGTGTGTGTGTGTGTGTGTGTGTGTGTGTGTGTGTGTGTGTGTGTGTTGTGGACTGCAGGAGTGTGGGGGATAGAAGCACCAACACACAACAGGAAGAAAGAGTAAAGAGATGCTTACACTGTAAGAAATAAAATGTTGAATTTACTTCATCGAGTCATGTCAACTGGTTCCACCAACCATAGTAGCTTAAAGAGCAAGTCACCCCCAAATCAACTTTTTTTTCTGATAAACTATATAAATGCATGTCTGATCATGCTGCAGACACGTGTAGTCAATAGTTTTGCACTTTAGTGCATTTTAGTTAAAATTTAAATTTTCTGCCTAAAACTGTCAGTGTTGTGCCGTTGTCAGGTAAAAACTCTGCACTGCATTTGAAGTTAAATCTGCCATTGCTATTGGCTAAGAGGTACCATAGAACGTTAGCTGGTACCATATGATGTCACAGCATCGTTGTGAGCCTCTGTGTGTGTGTATTTGTTAGAGCTCCGCCCTCTCGGTCTGCTAGGCAACAGCATTTGTTGCATTTTTCAAACAGGAAGTGGGGGCGGAGTATTACTCTGGTAGGGGGTGACTTGCTCTTTAAGTGTAAAGAGTAATGTACATTTTTATATGCAGTTAGGTTAAAAAGAAATGTTTTACGCTATTTAACCAAAGAGCAGTGTAGAACATACCATGTTCAGTGTTGTCGCCAAAAGAAAACGGACGGGGAAACTCTTGGGTCGGATTTACGTCACCCTGAAAATCAGCATTCAGCGTTAGCAACTACACCACACAGCAGAACTCCTCCTGGCTTGTGTTATTAGTGGAGATAAAACAACATTGCAGAGCAAACAGACAGTGGTAGAGTCGTGTTGCTGTTAGCCAATCAGAGGAGAGACGTCCAGCTATCAGGAATAATGTCCTCCGGCTAACTTCTACTTCCTCAGACTGGGGCGTCAGAGCTTTATTTAGAGACCCGAGCAAATGTAAAAACCGAGTGAATGAAAGTTTAGTGGAACCAGTTGGCATCATTTGATTCAACATTTTATTTCTTAGAGTGTAGTTCCCATGTTCCAATAGAAAAAGAATGGAAAATTTCTCTTAATTTTCCTAATTGTTTAACAGCTTGTTTTGTGGATTTTGTCAGTTTTTATTAAGAGAAACCAGATTTCAGTGTTTAATTATAAAATATCAATAAAATATTTAAAAAGGGTTTTAGTAGAACATATCAGTGTTTTAGTGCTGCTGTAAACTGTGATAGGATAATGCAAATAAAAATAAGCAGTTTGTGCCGTTTTCACCTCCCAGGTACCATAAACTAAATTATAATCCAAAATCAGTAAAACAAACTGAATTCTGCCTGTTTTTGTGTCGCTAAAGTTTCTTAGATGTGGCAAATTTATATTTTAGAAATACAAAAATGAGCAGGTGTGTTACCTGTCTGGTTATTGTGTTTTTATGTTTGCAGGATCGCTGAAAATCCACCAGAACCAGTTTTATAAAACAGCCCACCCATCAGGTTTGTCACTGAAGCCGTCCTGCATGATGGATTTGAGTTTTCTAACAAACGATCTTTTCCAAAGCTGCAGATTTTCCTAGTTTACATCTTTCGTTTTGGTACAAACCTCCACCTGTGTCATGACTTCATCCTCCTCCTCCACCCTGACCCCGCAATGACCTCATACGGCTCCAGGCATCGCCGCAGGTGGACACAAACCAACTCGTCTCACGGCTACTGGAATTGTTTATAATTCTTGCATCAATAACAGAAAATCAGTACTCTTAAACATAAATTCACCAGATAAAAGCATTTAAAAGACTTAGATTTGCTTATTTCTTTAAGCTCAAATCAAAGGATGTTGAGGCCAAACCGCGTCATGGTTGTGAAAATTACAGCTGAGTGAGAAGATAAAAGCAAATCAGGCGTAATTATGGGTTTTATGGGTACTCTGTTACAGCAACCGACTCATCCCTGCAACCGACTCATCCCTTGTTGATTTTCTCCTGAATGAAAAAAAGCATGTTATTTTTAGAAAACTTATCTTATTGCAGCTAAATAAGATTATTAAATATGTGCATTCAAACCCGATGTCAAGCTTCGTTGGGTCTCAGTTTTTTGCAAAACACATAAAATGACATAAAAAATACATTCCACAGTATTTATAGAGAAATAATGACAAAATCAATCAAAAGTGGCTTGGAAAATGCATAAATGATTACATAAGTTGTTTTTTCCCTTTGGAGCACGCCCACTCTCCTGCTCCAAGTGTTTTTCTCTCCACTCCTTTTGTACAAAATAACTCCACACCTCCTGTTAACGCTCGCTTCATGCCGTATTTCATTTACTGTGTAATTATCATCCAATTAGTGGATGGGGTTCACCAGGTGTGTGCACTAAGGCCCCAGTGACACAGCTCAGGCAGAATCTGGTGTAATAATCTGAAGATCAGGCGTGGACTTCGATCCTCGCCAACCTGGAGGTCACTGCTGCTGTTCTGTCAACATCCCAGAGGAGGCAGAATCAGTCAAAATGTCAGCGATTAGAAGAAAAATGCTACTTGGATCAATGTCTTCTTGGCTGAATAAAACATGGAAAACAAGGACTTGGAGATGAAGTACGCCTAACCCATACACAAAATGCAAAAACACTTTAGAAATATATTTATTTTTATCAAACTTAGCAGAAAAGTGAGATTTAGTTTGTGTCTGATCGTGATCGGTTACTGTTTTCAGTCTAGTAAAGCCATTTACTAAAACTACATGAAAATAGACTGAAAACATTATGAGATGTAGAACGTTGTTTATAAAATCTCTAAATCACAACAAACTACATTTGTCCTGATTTCTGCCAAGAGGGAGGTGAAAACAACTTTTTATTAGGGATGGACAATATATCGGCATCAACATCGGTATCGGCCGATGTTAGTCATTTTTTAACGTATCGGTACGATAAATAAAACCGGGCCAATTTTAACAACCGATATTTTATCCATCTCGTCTCCATTTGTTTGCCTGTTTCAGAGGTTGATGGGGGTGATGTGTAATTGTTTAGTCATGTGAATGGTGAATGAAATAATCTCAGAACCATAAATGTGTGTGGTGTGTGTACGTAATAATGTAAATTCAGCTGTAACCATTTTCATTTTATACAAAAAAATCTGCCGATTTTAGAAGCATTAATGTCAGTTTATCTGTATCGGCAAACATCGGTTATCGGCATTAACAGTGATATTAACTCGTTCACTGCCAATGACGACTAAAATCGTCATTTGCATTTTTTTACTCTGTGGGCGTCGGAACGAGCCCCCGCACTGTGAGAACAAACATCCCAGCTCTAAAGCCAATCTTCATCCGCGGATGTCACACGTCACATGATCAGGAAGCAGAAAATCCATGTGTTAGGAGATCGTTTTGGGCCGTTCCTGCAAAAAAAAAGTGAGGCGCGAACCGGAAAAGCTTCTGCCGATCACAATTCAACAAAGGATTATGAAAGAACGGATAACGCTCGAAATGCGCGGATTCTTCCTGATGTAAGAGGCGAGTCTCAGCTTTGTTTTGGTAGTTTTGGCGTCGACATCCTAGCGCGCAACGTTCTGACTCTTAAAAAAAAGTTAAAACAGTGAGAAACGCTGGCAGCGAATGAGTTCACAGATATTTTTTCCATCTTCTCTCCTTTTTTTGCCTATTTCAGAGGGTGAGGGGGTGATGTGTAATTGTTTAGTCATGTGACCAGTAAATGTAATCATCTCAGAACCGTTAATGTGTGTGGTGTGTGTGTGTGTACATAATAACATAAATTCAGCTTTAATCATTTACATTTTATACAAAAATCTGCTGATTTTAGACGCATTAATGTCAGTTTATCGATATTGGCCATAACAGTGATCTTAAAATCGGATATCGGCCGAAAAATGTCATATCGGTGCATCGCTAGCTTTAATTTATGAAGTTTGTTCTAGAATCCAAATTTATTCTAAAATAAATATTCTAAAATGTATTTTATAAGTGAAATGTTTTATTTCCATTAGTATTTTGACTGTTTCTAAACCAGAGCAAAAACTAAATATATAAACAAATAAAATCTGCTGCATGCAGGTTGTTTGGTCAAAGGTGACGGTTAAATTACATCTTTTGTTCGAGATATTTTTGTTGGACCTGAATGAAAAGGATTAGCCAGAAGTGAACTATTGGTATTAATTTAAAATAAAGGCTTTAAGAAAGACGGGCTTTCATTGTGAGGGTTTAAAACACCCAAAAGCAGCACAAAAGAGTCGATTCTTCCTACAAATACTTCTCGTGTGGCGGTGTTACCATTGTGTGCCACAGAAACAGAAACACACTGGTCCACTCCGACTCCGGTGTTCCTCACAGCTGAGACACAATCAGCCACGGATCTACCTCCTAATAATCCTCCCAAGGGTGAAAAAGCAGAACATCAAACCGATACAGCGTTTATTTATTTCTGAAACGTTTAATACTTCTTTGTTACACATCTTACAAAGACCATGAATCTGGGATGTAAACAGTTTTATTTTACTCTTCAGGTTTGTTCGTGGACTCCGGAGCAAACATCACGACCGCCCTCTCTCTTATGTGACAGGTGGAGCTGAAGGGAAAGTGGGAATCACGCTTTATGGAGGGAATAACTTCACCCTTATTACATCCCAAACTAGCGGACTTTTAACAAAAAACTAACTTTTAAACAACATTCCTTATTTCCTTTTGTCAAAAAAAGCAAAACAGAGAAAAGATCTGTAAGTAAATACAATATTCACAAAAAACAATATCAAAAACGGAATTATAACGTGTTTTATTGACATATTAGTCAACTTTATGATGGGAATTCATAATATTTGCACCACACAGACTTCATAAACTAACGGAGCCTTCGGTTTTCCGAGTCACAAATATGGAAACCAGGATGATTCCAGTCAGAAATGAGCTGTTTTACTGGAACTGGTACTTACTGGGAGGATTTCCACAAATGGTCAAAACCTAAACCAGATGGTGACCGTCTGCTGGTCTGACCACCGCTCATTCACACACACCGATTCCTAAAACAGAACCAACACATGATGAACACACAATGCTTTACATTCATGCTTCTAGATGCAACCGTTTTAGATGGAAATAAACTCTTTTAAAGATAAAACTCAGGAGAAAACTAATTTTGCCTCTAATTTGTGCAACTTTAGATTTTTTATCTTACAGAACCCTGCTGCTCTAAAATACAGGCAATAGATGCAAAGGCACACGTATCCAAACACTCGGTTAACGCCTCCGATTAAAAGTGACCCTGTCAGGTGTGTGTGTTGCTGCAGCAGGTGTGTTCAACCTTCAGGATGAGGATTCCCCCCCAGGAGCTGCTTCAAAGGCACGTCCCTGCTCTGCCTGGGGAGTAAATGACCAAACACCGGAGAGTGTAGGCACGGCTGGACAGACGGATGTACATTCACACTCCGAGCTGCAACTTTTCTCTACCTTCCGACAACCTGAGGAAAACTGTAGATGTCACGCACGAACACATCCACACACTAAATCTGCTCCTTTTGCTATTAAAAATCTACCTTTGATTGTCTCTAAAAAGCTGCTGATTCTTCTGGTTCCGAGTGTCGGCGCGGACTCGATGGCTCGCCGGTTACTAAAGAGGCGTTGGAGAAAAGTACAGTGACAGGCAGCACGACTACAAGGCATGACATTTGTTCCACTGGTCACCACTAGAGGGCACTGTAAGCAACACAACAGCAGGCTCGGGCACCACGAAATACAACGGAATAAAAAGCATATAGTCCAGCTTTAGGCGGGGTTAGGAAAGAAAGATGGATGAATGACACCGCTAGTGATCGTTAGCCGTAAAGAACTAAACACCGTCAGCTGGACTGGACGAATAGAACAATTCACTTATTGGATTTATTATACAAGGAAATAAATAAAGCTGGGAGTGAAAACCCAGAATTGTCTCTGATTTTTTATCTGTGTGTTGCAGGTGGTGGGGCGAAGTCGAGTCCTCAAGTCCCTTTGACCCGAGTTCCCTGGAAAAGGACGAGGTCTCTGGTGCAGCACAGCATCATCTGTTCTCAGAGATGACTCTCCTCTGTCGCTGTGAGAAAAACACGAGTCCAGACATCCTCCTATTGCTTTAAAGACGTAAAACGGAGGTGGACCAAAGCGCTTTGGATCCGTTTGGTTTTATGGCACGATATCTGCCAATGGCTTTTAGACCTTGTCCTCTTTCAGGTGTTGGTGGAGGGGGTGCAGAGAAATAAAAAGGCCTGAGGCTGGCTGTTTGAGGAGAAAACACAAACGTTTTACACTTGAGACCTCCTCAGCCGCGTGCTGCTGCAGCTTCAGATGGATTTGGTGTGCTTTTCTGCTCCTGCGTACCTGTCTGGGTGGTTTTTAGATCACCTGGATGTCTGAGCAGCTGTGATTTGACTGTTATCACAGCAGCAACACCTTATTTTGGTAGAAATTTAAACGTAAACGGCCCAACGGGAAAGAAGAAGCACATCTACGGCACAACAGGGGTTGAAGCTTTAGCTTCAGCTATGGATCGGGTTTGAGGGGCAGGAAGTGGAAATAAAATATTTAATAATCTTGAATCTGTTCTTGGATTGTTGATGTTTAGCGACATTGGTTGTATTCTGAGCTCAGTGGAGGGTTGAGGAGCCTCAGCTTGATCCCCTTCTGCCTCTTCGCCGTGGCTGCGCGAGCTGATGAACTTTGTGCTTCTGGAGTTAAAACGTTGCCGTCGGGAGGTCAGTTCATGTCGATGGTGTTGAAGACCCACTCGGTGAACTTCTTGAGCTTGGCAGCAGAGGTCTGGGACTCCTCCTGCAGTCTCTGGTTGTCTTCCCAGAGCCTCTTGATCTGAGACTGAAGCCGTAACTTTTCCTCCCGCTCCTGAAGAAGAGAGGAACAGGCGTTGGTCGGTTTGGTTCTGTAAACGTTTCTGGAGCTTGTCTGATGACACGCTAATCTTGTTATTTTTCCAGCTACTTTAGTTTTACTGATGAGCAACTTTTCTTTCGCGTTGCATAAAATGATCTCGATCTGCACACCTGCTTTCGGTTACACAGAATGCCCATTTTATCACTAGTCCTAGAAAAATCCTCCTCTAAGGCAGTTCTTTACTGCGCTGCATCCACTGGCGACTAGCACAAGAAAATGTGGACATTGTGCTGCTGCTACAGTTGTGACTCCGTTTTGGAGATGATCTGAATTGTATCGACTATATAAATACTACATGCTGATAAATTATTGCTTTATACAGGTACAAACGTGTAGTGGGATCAATCTAACTACATTTTATTTTTTAAGAACTTTGTTTTGTTTCTTGGTTTTTATTTTCCTGTCTTCCTGTCCTGTCTGTCTCTGATCTTCCTGCATCTCCCAGTCCACCAGAAAAACTCCTGCCTGCTTCCTTCTTTTTCACCTCACAAGTAACTTTTTAACTAGCAGATCAAATTGATCTATTGACCGCAAATAAAGCGAAGTGTGCGCCGCGCTGCCCGGCTGTCAGTGACGAGCGCTGCAGCGCGAGCGCGTCCACACGTCATGCTCAAATATAGACAGAACTTACCAGAGAGAAAATGAACGGACACGAATGACTGTGTGTTAATTATATATTTTTTGGTGACGCCACTTAGAAACTTAGGAAATGTTACTGTGGCCGTGTGCAGAACGCAGCTGGAGTTCATGGATAATCAGCGGTCTGCCTGCCGCCCTGCATCTCTGCTCAAAAGAATCCCCGCTACGCTGAGCCCATGTAAATAATATAATATGGGTAGAAACTGGGTGTGTAAGTTAAGGCCATCAGGGGAGCCTGACAACCTTTAAGGAGAACCAAGTTGCTCTCCTGTAATTTGAACCCAGTATCCGAGTCCGGATCGGGAAGTAAAGCCCGAGTCCCGATCATTCTGAAACCACGTGATCGGGGCCGATTTCCGATCATGTGATCGGATCGGGACATCCCTGATCTTTTTACTCAGATGTGTAAAAAAAAAAAAAAAAAACAAAGGAAGAGATTATGTCCTAATGACGTTAGAGGGGGTTGTATTTTTGTATTTGTTGCATCTCAGCATCATAATATCTGCAGTTTTGTTGCTCTCATGTCAAATTCTCATTGTTTCATCTTAAATCGGCTGCTACTCGAGTCTCGTTTCAGTCTCTGGACGCCCACAAAGCCGCCTCTCTTTCTGACTCATGAAGACTAAACTGAGAGGTTCTCCTGTGACTAAAGCCTGATTTATACTTCTACGGTAGCTCTGCACCGGACAGACTCACAGGGAGTGTCGGAAAGGTTTTCACATGTGAACTTCTGTTCAGGCACCAGAGCGTTGCAAAGCAACTCCCCGCAAGGGCAACAGAGGGTGTAGCACTGTTCTGTGGTATCCTGCCACCATAACACTCATGTATCTGGTCCATGATAGTGCATTTACTCATGTGTTTATATATCTCGAGACTATATGACAGATAACTTTATCCTTCATTCTCCTCCACCTCCCTGAACCGTCTACAGGTGGTTCAGAACGCCTGTGCTCGGCTTCTGACCAAGTCCTCCAAACACACCCACATCACCCCGCTTCTCCTCCAGCTTCATTGGCTGCCAGTCAACTTCAGGGTTCATTTCAAGATCCTGGTTCTGGTCTATAGGGCCTTACATGGACAAGCACCATCTTACATTGGTGATCTTCTTAGTCCCTACACCCCCAGCAGGTCCCTGAGGTCCAGTGATCAAAGCCTACTGGTTGTGCAGCACCAGGCTAAAGACCAAAGGTGACAGATCTGCTGCTGTGGCCCCCAGACTCTGGACCTCTCTCCCCCTGAGCCTGAGATCAGTGGACTCAGTGGTCTCCTTTAAAAGCAGCTGAAGACTCACATGTTCAGGCTCTGGTGTGACCTTCATCACCCTCTCCTTGTTCTGCTCTCCCCACCTATTCCACCTTCCTCAGGATCCACTGATTTCCCTCTTTCCTATTCACTCTCTCTCTCTCTTTACATTTTTATCACAATTGTCTATTTTTTGCTCATTTTAAATATATTTTTAATCATTTTCTTAATTCTTTTTTATATTTTTACATTTTTTGTTTTTGCGAAGCGCGTCGTGATTTTTATCTTGAGAGGTGCTATAGAAATGATATTTTCTTCTTCTTCTTCTTCTTCAAGCGGTCGCCACCTCTAAACCTACGTTTCCCGTAGTTTCCGTCCACGTTTGCTCAGTGTTTTGTACTTCTTCACTCACGGGTGAATAAATGTTCATATATTCAGACTTTTTCCACGATGCGTTCTTCAGTCTGTTCCGGGACTGCCGCTAAATATCTGTTTACTTTTTAACGGAGCGACAGCGGCGCTGGTGGCGAATATACTGGAAGCTGCATCCTGACCAATCACAAGCTTGCGGTCTCCGTCACCCTCGCCCGTCGGAGAGCCCTTGCGCCGAAGCGTAATGGCGTTGCGTGTTTCCGCAGCGACGCAGACGGAGAAGTATAAGTCAGGCTTTGGTTCACGCATCTATGTTGTGATTTTGTGCGTCACCTTCTTCAGGTCCTCCTGCAGCATCTTCACCACGGCTTCTAGTTTGGTCACCTTCCTCTCCAGCCCTATGTGACCCTCGCTGTGGTCGGAAAACAACCCGTTAACAAACGCTGACCCCGATTCGTCAATTGGGTGAACAGAATTGTAGCGGTACCTGGATGCGGGTCGTGACAGAGGAGCCGGCTGCAGCTCTATGTGAGGCTGCTGGGGACTGGATGCGCCGCTGCTCCGGTGGTTCGAATCCCCAAAAACATAACTCCTCTGAACTGGGAGGAGAAGTAAAGTGAAGGAAAACACAAAAAGGCACATTTTCGTGTTCAAAAACAGGGTGTTTCTTTACTGTAGTGAGTGCTTCTCTCGTTCTCAAAAGTGCTGGCCACATCCACCAGGTGTGTCCACTGGAGAGGACTGTCCCTGTTTGAAGGCGGGAGGGGCATCAGCTCCTGGGGGAGGGGTCCACGATGACGCTCCACCAAGTCCACCAGCGATGTGTCGGACGCAGAAAGGTCACCTGTAAAAAAAAAAGAAAAAGAAGCTACATTTAACTCAAATATCATGAAGTGAAATATAAAAATCGAGGATAAAAGTTTCTCTTCACCATGAAGTTTGACTCCAAGCTTGTACGAAGGTCGTCTGAGGGGAACGCCACGGGTGGTGGGCGAGCGGGGAAGGGTGGAGCAGCTGAAGAGGACGTCGGGGCTAAGCGCCGGTTCGGTCACCGAGTCGCTCAGAGACGGGAGCCGCTGGCCGCGGTAGATGCTCTCGTCTGACAGGGTACGGTGGAGCGAGCGGCGCCGGCTGAGCGGCTGACCCGGAGGAGACTTCTGGCCGTGCTGCGGCGCGGCGAGGAGCAGGATTAATGCCACATTTTTACACTTGTATGATTTCTATTTGTTTAAAAGCAAAACCAAATCCACGGTTTTGACAATGACCTTTTCTTTGTGCTTCCTGGGTGGTGGGGGGCTGTCGTGAACACCGTGCCTCTTCACATCCTCCTCTACGGTGGACTTGGCGTGCTGCTGAGGCAAGTGCATGTCCCTAAGGGATGGTCTTGCTGCCGGGGTTGGGAGCAGCTCTCCTCCACCTTCTCCAGGAGATTTCCTAAAACAAACGTGTCAAAGGTCATTTTCTACAAAATAAATAAAACCTGCGTTTGGTGCAAAATGTCTCAGAATAACTGTGCAGCCATGTTTCATTACAACTAGTGGCTGCTGTATTGCTGTCAGTCACAAGGGGGCAGTCGAGCAGCATCCTTCTTATTCCTGGTGGTAGAGGTTTAAAATAAACGTTTGTCCTCACTTCCTGGTGTCTCCAAAGTCCACAGAATTAATGGTGGAGCCTGGCTTCCTCCATCCAATCAGATACTTGGACTGAGCTCCCTGACGGGGGTAGAAGCTCTTGGGCCCCGGGGCCACGGAGGACTGAGACGATGGAGAGGTGGCCGAAGACGAGGACTCGTCTCTGGGAGAGCTGTGTCCCGAGTGCCTGGAGGGTGACAGAGTATAGAGATGATGAAGTCTGACAGAGGACAGGTGTGTCTTACTGCCGGACAGGTGAGGCTCAGGCAACAGCAAGAGGCGACCGCTGCTCTTCTCTCACCTGGGCTGGGAAAGTGGGACATGCGTCGCACTTTTGTCATTTATATTAGCTCTTTTATTTTCATATCTTTACTCGTTTTAATCCAGTGTTTTCTCTGTAGGGGCCCTCTGCCCCGGGGACGGTGGTCGACTGTTGCTTCCTGAGCGCTCTATAGGTAGTGTTTAAGTGGAGGTGGAGGTCTATGCTCCACCACCTCAGAGCACCCTGACTTAGTGTGGAAGACCTGATGTTGCCAGGGCAGATGGCCCCTCTGATGGCGTTTCCTTGCCTCAACTTACTTGGCTCATCTGGACTCAGCTGAATATAAATCTTTACAGGTGTGTGTGTGTGTGTGTGTTAGCATATGTCTGTTAATGTTTTTAAACTGTTATGGGAATTTGGGGTCATTTTGTAAAGTACTTTGTTTGAAAAGCGCTTTATAAATAAAATCTGATTTCCTGAGGCTTTATCACGTTGAAAGAGAAGAGGGAATTAAAATGACTACTTATGATGTGTCTGTCCCTGGTGAGGTGTAGATCTTTTGGCCTAATTATTAGTTATTATTAGTGGAAAAAACTACTAATCAAGAAAATGTTAAACTATTTTCATTAGTTGCCATTAAAATAGTATAAATTATGGGTGAATGTGTTTTTCAGCACATTTTAGAGAATTAAAGTACGTTTAAAACACAGCTGCCTGACTGTCTTAGGGCTCCCTCGGCCTCTGGCTGAATCATGAGTCCCTAAAGGTCACAAGGTCAGGATCTGGGACTTTGGTGTAAGACGTTTCCTGTATTTATAAGATGAGAGCAGCTCCTCCTCCAGTTAGTTTTTATTTCGAGAAGGAGAAAACAAAGATTGGCTGTAAAACGGTGTCAACTCTGTCTACTCTCAAGAGTTGCGCTGAAGTCGCCCTCGTGTTCGGGGCGTGGGGATCCGTTTAAAGAGTCATGAAAGGAAATCTTCTCAGGAACGTCAATCTTCTGCCAAACAGAAACATACTGAGCTGGTTGTGTTGCCACAAGCTCAGATGGACCTCAGTGTTATTCCAAACACACGATGTGGGAGGAGAGGACATAAATCTAACAGAATTCCGGACAGGAAGCAGAATTAATTAGCTTTATGTGCTTGGATCATAACAGTTGGACTCACCTTGAGTGAGATCCTCCATCACTCAGACTGTAGGTGCTGCTGTCTCTAACCAGGAGGTGGGTGGGAGGAGTCCGCCCCACCTCAGTCATGCTTCTTTCTATGGGAGGACCACAAGGCTCGGCGGCAGCAGGTGACCTCTCCAGCATCCTGCGCCCTCCCTCTGTTGGACTGTGCCACGGAGAAGGCGTCCGCTCCTTACTTTCTCTGCTTCCGCTGGGAGCCAACAGCGACGTGGTGCTGCCGTGATGGGAGTGGGGGTGGGAGTGATGCGGAGCTCCGTACGAGCCGGCGTCGATGCTGCTGTCGGCCGAGGCCCCCTGAAGGTAGCCTCCTCCGCCCAGGCCGTTGGGTTCTGGCTCACCCTGGTCACTGCTGGACGCCCCTCCCGCTCCCAAATCGTACCATTTGTCGCTGTCGCTGTGGCCCCCACTGGAAGTGGTGCTGGATAGGGTGTTGCTGCTGGAGTGACCCGAGTAAGGGCCATCTGACTGCAAACAGAAAAGGCAAAAGCTTTTTTTTTAAAAGAGTTATCACACGTGGAGTCCCTCAGGGTTCAGCGCTCGGTCTAAAATGCTTCACTCAACATAATAATGATGCAAGTAACTAAAGTACAAGTAACATTTGTTTCATTATTCAAAACAATTATAATAAATATGGTTTGTTCAAAAGTCTTTATAGAAACATTACAAATAAAACTATATTCACACATTTTAATCATAGAAAAAGATTATTTGATCACAATAGAAACAGATTTTAACAATTTAAAAACTATTTAGGAGTTATTTTAAATCATTAATTTATATGTAAACTTCACATAATTTATATTATATTAAACATGTTTGGACTATTATAATGTTTAACCCTGATTTGGTTATTAATTTTAAATGTTATTAATAAAATTAAATAAGAATTTTCCTACTACTGTACCCCTTTCACTCAGTTTTTATTTATAGAAAATTAGATGAGTGAAATAATTTAACACTAACGAATTTGCAAATGAATATTCAGGAGGAAAACATGCAGGTTTTCTGACCTGACTGCCCTTCTTTGGGGAAATGTGGATGACTTGCTCTTGCCTCTGGATGCGAGGAGCTCCCGAGTAGCCCTGACCAGACTTGGCAACCGGGGCTTCTGCAGAAACATCAAAGGGACACGTGAACGGAGATCCTGCAGCACAAACATCTGATAATACATCTGTTCATTTAGCAACAAAACTTCCAGGAGGATCACAACGTTGACATTGTTTTCATTCCTCTTTTGCATCCTCTTTAAAGGAAACCCTGAATCACTTGTCATCAAAGGGAACGTGCATCAAATAAAATGGTGTCCCCTGCTGGCTTTGTTTGCTCTGGGCAAGCTGTGCTGCATGGCAGAGTCTGCGTACGCGTCCTGAAGCTAACTCGGATAATAAATGGGACTATTGTGTAATTTTCCACGTTATGCAACAAGATATACAGAGCAGGTCGTTAATGAGCTGAGCAGCATGAGGCAGAGAGAAGAGGCTGTATGATAACATCTGTTGGGCTGAATCTAAAAATGTGGTTTCTGTCTCATTTGGAATATTCATTAACCTGCAGGGATCGCTGCACTAATTAGAGATGGTTGTAGACCCGTGAGCTGGCCGGCATCAGCTCTTCTACAAGCATGTACGTTTGACTAAGTGTCACTAAGTCTAAAGTTAAAGAGAAGACAGGAAAAACAGAAGCTTCCATGTGAAAAAGTGAGTTTCGGTGAAGAAGAGAATGTAGACTAAAGAGTAAAAAAAGTGACCCCTGGATGCAGTGTGGACACCAGAGGGTCAGGAGGTAAAAATGGAAGGAAGACTGAGCTGGCGGCTTGGCCGTCCTCATCGTTCCACCCTGACCAACGACGACACAAACATCATAAAATAAAACACAAAATATAAGACTTGTGGCGGTCGGCGACGGGTTGGGGACACGGCTCAAACCAAACAGCGTCCTGCTGGGAGATGGAAGAGCGGCAGTGAGGAAAAAGCAGCCTTTGTGGTTTTTAGAGACGTTGAAGCAAAACGGGAAAGCTTGGAAACTAACTGGAGGAATTCTTTTGATGTATAATTATTTTGAAAAAATCATGAAGGGTACACAAACACAGGAAACAAAGTTAGCTAATGTCGACAGAGACTAATTCCATTTCTGCTCTTATTCCTTGAATAAACACTTTAAAATAATCAAACACCGGGATCACACACTACTGCTTTAGCAGAGACATGAAGGGAACGGAGGGTGGTGGGGCTGAAGTCTGAGTTGGTATCTAAATGCAAGCGCCGTCAGTTCAAAGGATTTAAAGCATAGATGTGGATCATCTCTTTCCTGTGCCGTCTCCTCCTCCCGTGCTTAAATCATCTGCATCACAAACTCTTTGTACGTATAAAAATGTCATTTGCATCAACTTTTCATCAAATGTGTCGTTTTTCTCACCAGAAAGTCTCAATAACAACAGAACGAGCGCTCTCATACCTGTTGAGCCTCGTTCACTTCCTCCACCTTCCTCCATTCTCGACCAATTGGGAGTGGCTTTTCCGCTGGACCCTCCCTCTCCAGCCACCTCCCTCCTCTCCGAGGACATCGGAGAATGGCGGCTGCTCGCAAACCTAGCAAGCGGGCACACCAGCACAGACTCTGAGAAGACTTTTTCCAGATGACTTGATTTAAATAATAAAGCTGTTTTAAAGGTGTGGTTTACTCATTTATTCAATACATTTGCTGTGTTCTCTAGAGTAAATCAACAAATAAAAAGAGCTATGATGTTCCTGTTCTGTGATGAGGTAGGCTGAAAGCAGCAGGATTAATCATTATTATTAATGATATGCACACACCTCCCTTCTGACTGGGTAACAGAACACGTTCAGCCACGTTGCAAAGTCACCATCACAAAGACACTCTCTACTTTCTCTCCTCGCCGCAAATAAATAAAAAAGAGCCTTTCTGTGGGCGGGCGAGAGCCAAGATGGACGAGGCCATCAATGCAAATTAGGGGTTGTATCAACTAGTCGACTTCACTGCTCCGTAGTGACTTTCTATGCCTTTCATAGACTAGTCGCTGTCACGTGATAATGACCAACAAGATGGAGTCCTCGGAAAAGACAGCAGATGACGAGCCCCTGCGCCCTCCCCCTGAAGCAGGGGGGAGGGCTGAAGCAAGATGCAGAAACTACAGTTGTTAAAAGAAATGTGTTTAACTTAGAAAATGTGGGCGCAATTTTAATTGCCAAAAACTCCAGCGACCCCCCCACCACCCCGTATGACGTCATCAACGACTGGTCGAAGTCGACTCGATTTTCATTACTTGAAGGTCGACTTTACAAAAAATTAAGCCATATGTAGCCCCAATGCAAATTCACAGAGTGGCATCACAGTGTGCAGATTTTCTAATCGTAGCATTTCATCGTCTACTTTCAATCAGCTAAAGGCAGGATACAGGTGTAGGAGACGGTTTTCACATTCAGCCTGCACAAAACACTCAGAGTAACCGATTATAGCCACAAATGAAAAATAATTTTCAGTCAACCACACCTTTAAACATATTTAAGAGGTTGGAAATAAAAGTGAGCCCCTTATTTTAAATTATTACAGCCCTCACATAAATATATTGCACCTCCAGGCAAGCAGCAAAGTAATTAAATCAGGTGGGCAAAATCCATAAATCCACTTCCTAATTGGGACTTGAATGGAGTAACGGATACGTGACTTTTATTGTTTAATGGAAAAAGTGGGATTAAGTTTCCTCTCAAGATGAAAACAGACGTTTTGTTTCCATAAGCACAAAAATGATTTCGAAAGCGATGCATGAGAAAATCCTTTACTGCTCTGGCATAGACTTTTGTCTCCAGTGGGCGGAGCTTCCAGACGCTTCAGTGGAGCAAGACAGGTTGCTGGGTGAGCTGCGGTTGTGAGGGGAGCGACCCAAAGCCAGGGAGGAGGCCAGGCTGTAGCTCTCACTGCCCGGAGACATCCTGGAGTCCAAACAAACACAGAAACACACCCATAGAGAAGGCGATATATTAACACATGCATGAAGTAAACATGCATGAAGTAACATTTTATTAAATTAAAAAGTTTTTACTACACACATTTTATTAAATAATTGATCTAAATAAAAATTTTTAAAAGATGTTTTTAAACAAAATAAAAGATCAAATAAAACAGAGAAGCACCCATAGAGAGCATTCGAAATGAAAACTGACCCATGTGATAAAAATGCATGAAATAAAATCAAAATATTTGTGATATAATAAATCAAATTCAACTCAAAAAAAGAAATAAAAGAAAAAATAAAAAAGGAAAGAAAAAGAAAAAAGAAAAAATATTTCTAATTAAATGATTACATTACAAAATATGATGCAATAAACACAATACACATTTATTTAAAAATTGCTCAATTCTGTTAAATAAAAAAATGTAGAACTGAAAACAAAACAAAACTAAATTATAATAAATTTCAATCTATTATTAAAGTATATAAATAAATGTAGGGTCTGTTGGAGGATTATTCCTGTTAAAGGGGAGTTTTCCTCTCCACTGTCGCTTCATGCTTCATGTTTGATTCTGGGATGATTAACCAGTAGTAGAGGTTTCAGAGCATTTCATTCCAATCTGCTCGGTGGTAACTTATAAAAACATCAGCTTGCCTTCCAGCAGCGGGCAATAAAAAGCCAACAGGCTCTAACCTCTTGGAGTCCAGAGGTCGTCCATCGCTGCTGACGCTCCGCGGAATGGCGGCTCCTCTCTCCAGCCTCTCGGCCGACAGCGTCTTCCCCACTGAGCTTCCCAGGCTGACGGCTCTGTTGGGCGTGTGGGGCTGAGGGGAGGCGGTCAGAGACTGCTGAGGGCTGCTCGACGTCCTCTGCCACTTGTTGTTGTTGCTGCGGAAAGGGAACTTGTACTCGAAGGAGCCGCTATCGCTGCTGCTGCCCTTGTACTCTGACATGGGGGCTCGATAGAGCTCCGAGCAGCCCCTGTGAAGATAACGGGGTTTGGTTGAAAGTCCTCACACCTTCAGGATTTATATCTATTAAATACTAAATTAGAAGAATGAGACAAAGAGACTATCTGCTCTTGCCTAGAAGCATTTGGATTTTAAATTGCTCATTAATCTATGCACTCATGAATCAAATTAGCTTCAGCCGTAAAAAAAAAGTCCTTTAACTTCTACAAAAAGACAGAATGACGCCTCAGAGGCCTCAGAACTGACCTGCGTGGAGTGGCGTCGTCGTGTGGTGGGATGATGACAACGCGTACGGTCACAGAGTTCCTCAGGAGGTCAATCATCTGCTCGTGGGTCAGCGTTGCCACGGCGACTTTGCAGATTTCTACCAAACGGCTTCCCTGGCGCAGTCCTGCTTGCCAGGCGTAGCCGTAGGGCTCAACCTAAGAGCAGATTTACGCTTTTAATCTTTGTTTGCTTACATCACCAGTTTTCATTTAGTTTCTCACCAAATAATAAAACCTTTCACACGTTCCTTGGTGTGGTTTGACTTAACAACTAACAAAGACACAAGACTAAATTTGCTGTTTTAAGGCCAACTTATAACATTATAAAGTTGCAGCTAATTGTAGAAAGCATAGGAATATTTTAGAAGTGCTTTCCCATCTGCACTGTAAACCCAATCAAGCTTGGAAGCTGCAAGAGTTGTTAGCCGTCACCCGTCATAATTAGGAAATCCAAAAACACGACCTCATTTCCTGACCCGGACACAATTATCTCATTTGGACTAATGGGCAGTAATGAGAATGCTAGATAACTTTGATGTGAATCTCCTCTAGGTAACCAAAAACAGCTCGACCTCTTCTTCTGCTTCACAAACAGTCAGCATGCCTGAAACTCCGTTCATAATTTAAACGTACTTATTTTTTCAAAAACATCATCAGAGGATTCGGAGAAGGAATGGGTTTTTCAAGATAACCATTTGTTTCATTAGAAGGGTCTTTACCCCTCCCTTAGACCACTCCTACACTTTTAAATGCAAATATTACAAGTTTTAATGACGATAACGAGACTAATAGGTGCAAAAACACATTTCAACTCTAAAAGAAAAAACTGCACACTCCTAAGCAAGGACGGACAAGATAATGCACATCTATTATATAGACTTAGTTCTTAAATTTAGCTGATTATAGAAAATAAAAGTCCACCTACTCATCACAGTAGGGTTTCTGAAAGGTAACTTGGCTTTTAGAGAAACGTGAAATACCTCAGCCACAATGCCCTCGTAGTTCACATGGAAGCCCAGCTGTCCCAGGCCGTTTCGACGAAGCGTCATCTCCGACGTCTCACAGCCTTTAGTCAGAAACTGGAAGTGGAGCGAGAGAAACATGTAACCCAGAAGACTGGTCGATCAGTTGTGGCTTGAAATAGTTTAAAAAGCTTCTAGAAAGATTTTAGGTCTCATGTTTGTCTCTTTAGTTACACTTTAACTAAAGTGTTAAACCCAAGAGGCTGAAGGGCTAAATGAAAACTTAAAAAAGAAAAGAAAAAGATGGTAGATGGTCTGTATGTGTATAGCTTCTTCTTAGGCCTCTACAACCCCCCAAGGCATTTTACAACACAGTCAGTTATTCACCCATTTCCACGCTGGTGGTGATGAGCTACGACAGCTGCCCTGGGGCGCACTGACCGAGGTGAGGTCTGCCGAACACCGACTCCAGCGGGCAAGGCGGGCTGAGTGTCTTACCCAAAGACAACAGCGGCATTCTGAACCTACAACCCTCCGATTACTGGAAAACCTTCAACCTCTTGCTGCCAGGTTTATTTAAAGCTGTGACAGCAAATTTGGAAAACCTATTAGCTGAAACGTTTCATGCCTCTTAACTCATTCACTGCCAAAAACGACTAAAGTCATTTTTTACTGTGTGGGCGTCGGAACGAGCCCCCCGCACCGTGAGAACAAACATATCAGCTCTAAAGCCGATCTTCATCCGCATACGTCACATGACCGGGAAGCAGAAAATCCATGTGTTAGGAGATCGTTTTGGGCATGTCTGATCTCTGAATTGTGTGTACTGAAACTAATTTCCCTCTAGGATTAATAAAGTATCTTTGAACTGAATTGAATTCAACAACGGATTATGAAAGAACGGTTAACGCTCAAAACATTCTTCCCGATGTAAGAGGTGAGTCTCCGCTTTGTTTTGGTTGTTTTGGTGTCAACATCCTAGCGCGCAACGTTCTGTGGCTCTTAAAAAAACAGTAAAAATGGTGAGAAACGTCGGCAGCGAATGAGTTAACTACATTCCAACATATTATAGCTATAAATATATTGTGGGGATTAAAAAACAAATGAAGTAGTTCTCTTGCATTTGTCTGAAACCCAACGCCAACAACACAGTTCAGACTAACTATTGGACCTTTTTCCATGTGGTTTCGCCCAAACGTTACACTTCCCTGGGTCCTCCACTCCTTACACACTCACAACAGAACACCACTGGTGTGAGAGATTCTCCACTCAGTAACATCAAACAAAAAGAAACAGCTGGCTGCAACCACTTCAACTTTAGGACAAACTACCAGAGTTCCAAAAAGAAAAACACCATTTGAAGTCACGGACAGCAGAAGACGCTTGGATCTAGAAAATGATGACTGGCGTTTACCACTATTTTGTTACAGCCATGTGGGTTTCCGGTTCTGGTGGAAGTAGATGCAGGGAAAACAAGTGTTCCGTGACCATGTTTGCGTTCAAACTAGTGATGTCCCAAACACATCTGAGTAAAAAGATTAGGGATGTCCCGATCCGATCACATGATCGGAAATCGGCCCCGATCATGTGGTTTCAGACTGATCGGAACTCAGGCTTTACTTCCCGATCCGGACTTGGATACTGGGTTCTAAGTGGCGTCACCAAAAAATATATATACAGTCATTCGTGTCCGTTCATTTTCTCTTTGGTAAGTTCTGTCTATATTTGAGCATGACGTGTGGACGCGCTCGCGCTGCAGCGCTCGTCACTGGTGCAGCCGGGCAGCGCGGTGCACACTTCGCTTTTTTGCGGTCAATAGATCAATTTGATCTGCTAGTTAAAAAGTTACTTGTGAGGTGAAAAAGAAGGAAGCAGGCAGGAGTTTTTCTGGTGGACTGGGAGATGCAGGAAGATCAGAGACAGACAGGACAGGAAGATAGGAAAATAAAAACCAAGAAAACAAAGCAAAGTTCTTAAAAAATAAAATGTAGGTAGATTGATCTCACTACACGTTTGTACCTGTATCATAGGCGTCATTTTAACCGGGGACACCGGGGACATGTCCCCGGCAAAATTTGTGATTGGCAGCTGTGTCCCCCCCACTTTAAAAAATGCCTGCTGATGAGGATTTTTGTTTTACCAGCTCAGATCTTATACCAGGGGTCGGCAACCTGTTCCCATCAAAGAGCCATTATTACCCGTTTCCCACAGTAAAGAAAACACCGCAGTAGCCGCAGCGTTGTGGGCGGGGCCTACCCTCAGACAGCAGAGAGCTGCTCACAACCAGATGACAGCAGCCGGTACCGGTCGCTCGCATGGGCGTCGCACCCGTGGGGGATTCAACACCCACACTTTTCCTTCTGTTTTGCTCACCTCCACACCAGTCTGGTTTCTTTACGTCGCACTAACTCTGTTTGCCTCATCTCCTTCTTCACCTCCGCTTCTGACAGCCGATGTCGGGTTTCCAGGAGAGCAGGAGAGGGAGGGACGGAAGAGCTCGACTGAATTCATAATTTTACATCTTGACATTAGCTCTACAAAGTCTGAGTTTGATAACGTGAAGAACAACAATTTGCAGAGGTTTATAACAGGCGCGGCGCCAGGTTTTCATTTTTGGGTGGGCCACAGTAATTCTGGACGGACCTTAATAAGCAGTGACTTAGTGAAGCAGGCAGGTCGCGCTAGAAAATTTTGTTTAAAAAGACGTCATAAATGTTTTCCCCCGTCATTTTTATTTCTAAAATATGAAGTAAAAACTCACAATTTAATTTTCATTCATTTGTCATTAATATGTAGTCTACACCCGTGCGTTAAGTGGACCATCTTCCAGTAAAAACAAAGCTTCCAGCCCACCTCTCCAAATGCGTAAAATGTGCATCACAGCCGCTAGTTAGGCGCGCCGCGCGCACCATCAGCTACGTCAGCCCAGACAAGAGCAGAGCAAATAGAGAAAGAATAGAGGATAATTGTGTCTGGATGTGGATGGAGATTACATTTTACAGCAGTCTGATCATCATTTAAATACGTAAACCATCACCTGTCTTCTAGTCCATGCTATCAGCATTATTTTAATTGGTGTGTGTGTGTGTGTGTGTGTGTGTGTGTTTTCCACTTCAAACACTGGTCTAACCAACCAGACCAGCGTGTCCAGTAACATATTAATGTTACAATTAAACAGTTTCACTTCATGTAGGCTAGGAACATTCCACCTGCCGTGGCCCGACCGCTTCTGCTCCACATAAACTTTGTGCGTGATCAAATGTCTCTACAGGTGCTTTCTGAGCTGCTATTCTGCCTCAGACTGGATGCGTCATGCGTCTCCATATTAGAGACGGGAACAAGCGCTGTTCAGCCAAAGGTTCATAATTTCATAAAAAGAACATTTTTCCAAGTGACACATCCCTCAGAGAGACCGGGTTTCCAGAACGCTTCAGTGGGAGGAAATCATCGCATGCACCGTGGTTCTGCGCTGCGCTGCGAACCCCTCAGATCTTCAGCCCACTGTCCACCGTGGGCGCTCCGAGCCGCGCTGAACACAGTGTCCAGTATAAAGCTCTGATGTTCTGATGGGAATCAAGTTACCTCTGCGATGTGCGTAACGATTAAAATGTCAGCTCATCCATGCGCATCAGTGTGCGTTGGGGTAATTCTTTCAAAACAACCAACATCCTTGAGTTTATCCGTCAATATGTGGCACGGTGGAGAAACGAGAGCCCGGGCGGGATTCGATCCCCAGACTCCCGGGTGAGAGTCATACACTCTAACCAGTCAGCCAAAGGGACAACCCCTTGGCCAAGTAGCCAGGGCGCATGATCTATCGGGACACTGTGACAGGACACTCACACTGCCACACCTGATTATGAAACTTTGGCTGAATAGCGCTTGTTCCTGTCTCCGATGTGGCGACGCATCCAGGAACCTGTCTGAGGAGAAGCCCAGAATCTGACATACTCCAGCTCAGGAAGCGCCTATGATTACGCACAAGCGTGACGCATCAACCCGGTCTCACAGTAAGACCGGGTTGGACCTGTTCAGGTTTACGCAGACAATCTTTACATTTAGAATTGGCATACAGATGTAAAATTAATGCAGTAAAATATAAAGCTTTTTATTTAAATATCCATTCATTATTTTACAAGCACAGAGAGCCGCATCAGATGGATGGAAGAGCCGCATGCGGCTCCAGAGCCGCTGACCCCTGTGCTAGCCTACTTTATTGTCCCCAGCAATTTTTAAACCCCACTCAAGTGTATGGTTATTGTCCCCAGCAATTCTGAAAACAAACTGACGCCCTTGACCTGTATAAAGCAATCATTTATCAGCATGCAGTATTTATATAGTTGATACAATTCAGATCATCTTCAAAACTCCGTCCCATGTCCAGGGACGTATCTAAGCATTTTGGGGGCCGAGGCAAAATAGACCCCTGCCAGGTATTTTAAGTTGAAGTGCTATCTGTTTTTATATTAGACTTTTTATATTTGCAATAAAGTCCAAAAGTGAAGAATTTATGTTATTTATTATTTGATTGTTCAAGCTACCTCACAGAAGTGATCTGTTGTTAAAAATTAAAATAAAAAGGTAATTAAATAAAATATAAAGAATATTCTGGAACTGTTTCTTCCTTTTTTTAATGTATCAAAAGTATCGGATCGGGACTTTGTATCGGCAGATTCTCAAAATCAAATGACTCGGACTCGAGGGCAAAAAAACCTGATGGGGACATCTCTAGTTCAAATCCTAACTTGTTCTGTAGATTTGCTACAACAGCTTTAAAACTGGTCTCAACCAAAAGGGAAACACCACCGCTTACATGGAAGTGACAAAAATTGCAGTTCCCCCTCCTCAATCTTTTCTATAGTGCCTCTTAAGATAAAAATCACGAGGCGCTTCTCAAAAACTAATATTTAAAATGTAAAAAAGATTTTTTTTAATGATTAAAAATATGTTTAAAATAAGAAAAATAATAAAATTGTGGTTACAAAACGTAAGGAAAGGGAGAGAGAAAATGAATAGGAAGGAGGGAAATCATTGGATCCCGGTAAAGACGGAATAGGTAGAAAGAGCAGAAGATGATAAAGGGCGTGTCTTTTTGATTGGTAGGTGTTTAATGAGCCATCAGCGCTAACGCTAGCAACTTGTTTCCCAGCTTGCTCCAGGGAAAGTCTCAGTCTAGAAGGCAGAGGGTAGCGCCCATCAACCGCTGTTAGCAATTAATTCAGATACTAGTTTCAGGTCACCTTTGTGTTTATTTTTCCTCAATAGAGAAATCAAACTTCAGGAATAAATCATGGTGCCTGATAGGACTGGGTGATCTGACCTAACTTCAATATCACGATATATTGAGGATTTCACCTCGATAACAATAGACAATAACTACAGGAATGCACAGAAAAAAGGTTGTTCACTAGATGGGGCTGTCACGTGTATCAAGTTGTCAATTTTTACGTGACTCAAGGTGGTGCCGCTTCTTAAAGGGACATGAACGTTGCCAAACCACACACATCTTTTCATTTTTTTATTACCACATTTATTAACATGGGAAAATTTTTATTGATAAGAGTCAGAAATTTTGATAACAATAAATTTTCAATGTATTGCCCAGCCCAGTGCCTGATAAGAATTGCTGTTGTGCCACCCATTGTTATGATGTCGGAGAAAGAGAATAAAGTTTAAAGTGACAATGTGTAGTTTTTACCATTAATCTCTGGAAATATCCATTGAAATGTTGTTGAAAATAAATTAAAAGATATACAAAAATATTAGCGGTTTCGTAACATAGAACCATAAAAATCGTATATAAAATACACAGGAGCGGGTCTAAGTCTTTGGGCGACGCCATATCAGAAGCCATGTTTTCTTCTACGGAAGCCTGTTAGGTCAGAATACCTTTACTGATTTGTAACAAATGGTTACAAAACGTTCAGCATTAATGTTGTTGTTTTACACATTTACCTCTTCACTTGTTGCCAGTGATGAAAGGAAATCTGATGTTCTTGTTATTTTGCTGGAGGTTGCACTCCCAAGTATTTTGGACCCTAATGGCCATCTGTTGATAAGGTCTTACTTAAACACAAAAATAATGCTTGCTTGCAATGCTTTAGGTATCTACTGCTCCCTATCGCCAGGGAAAATACACACTGTCACTTTAATGAATAGAAACAAAGAGGAATAAATTCCACTTCCCATGTTTGTTTTGCCAATCAAGTAGTGAAACTGATTCAGTATTAAGGCCAAATAAAACAATGCAACATCTGACTGAAATCAGGATTCAAATAGATTAATGCTGATTTAATCCAGGTTACTTAAACAAACAAAAACAAATATATAATCTTACACACATGCATATTTGTGTGAGTTTTAAAGGATGAAGCTGGGGCAATAAATGCATTTTAGAGTGTGGAAGAGCACATAAGAAAACACCTTTGTTATTTCCCCCTGACCTGTTTCCATGGAAACAGCTGAGAGCGAACAAGCATCACTTCACAGCGAGTGTAGGTGTAGGAGCCATTAGGAGAACGTTGCCCAGAGGTGTTTCTAAAACTCCCTCAATAAACTGAGACCGGTGAGGAGACGACAGGCTGGCATGTAGATACAAAATTGTTGTTATTCTGGCAGACTGACAGCCGGCACCGGATAACGGGAAAGACTCGGGAGTGAGTTGGCCAGGTAGAGCCTACTGCCAGCAGCATTTCACTCCAACTTGCTTTCTCAGCACTATTGTTCTCTCGTCTTATTCAGAATTATTAAACAACCATGCTGTGGTTCATTGGGTGTGTGTGTGTGTGTGTGTGTGTGTGTGTGTGTGTGTGTGTGTGTGTGTGTGTCTAACCTCGAGACGTTTGACGACCTCTTTGAAATCCTCTGTATTGTTATTGATACTCCTGAGGGAAACACTCTCCCCGTGCTCGTAGAAAATCTTTAGCGATGCTGGATTGCTGAGCGTCCAGCCAATCACATCCTTAGTGGCACAGTTAAACACCACGGCCTTGGCCTCCTGGTCCAACAGGATGAGAAAGTCATTGGAAATGGCCAACAGAGCCTCTATTTCCCCTCCGTTCCCATGATCCTCAGCATAAACCTGCCAGGTCACCGCTCCCAGGCTGCGCAGCTCCGCACCGTCATAAGGGCGAGTCTTCTCTTTCTTTTTATGAGCCAGTGAGATAAAAGGGAACTTTGCTGAGGGGTCAATAGAAGTGCTGGTTGCGTGGCGCTCTGCCAGGTCGCGCAGGTACTCCTGGCGCGTTCGAGTAGCCATGGCTCGGAACTTGTGTGATTTGTGGGCAGCGTTTTCAGCGTTGATGATCTTGGCCAGCAGGAAGTCCCGGAACACGGATGACTTGGGAAAGGTCACACCCTCAGGGATAAGGGGGCCAAATGAGGGCATGTCTTTGGACCGGGTTACTGCCACACTGCAAGAGAGGAAACCAAAGACAGGAAATAAATGAGTAAGGCAAGAAAAGAAGAGAAAATGTCAATACACTGAAATATTGCAATAATTAGCGTAATGATACCGACTCAGTAATTAAATGCATAATTTTTTTTATTGAGAAACTAGATGCAAACATCTACTGTATTTCTCTTGTGTGTTGCAATTCAAACTCCGACTGCTAGGTGGCAGCAGTTTTACCACCTTTGTTCTGACGGAACAACGAGAACTCGTGATAAAACTGGATGTGTCTCAAAAGGATCTGACCTGAGTTTTCTAAATAAATTCAGTCAGAAAAATTGTAAAAATCATTTTACTATTTTACTGTCGAGATTTATCATCTCACGAGGTTCCGGTTCTGTTCATTACCTTTATGGACAGAATTTCTAGGTGCAGCCGTGGTGTAGAGTGTGTCGAGTTTGGTGGCAGGAGAATCTCGTCTCTGCTTTTTGTGGATGATGTGGTCCTCCTAGCTTCATCCAGCTCTGACCTTCAGCTCTTGCTGGGTAGGTTCGCGGCCGAGTGTGAAGCGGCTGGGATGAGGATCAGCACCTCCAAATCTGAGACCATGGTTCTCGACCGGAAAAGGGTGGCTTGCCAACTCCAGGTCGGGGGAGAGGTCCTACCTCAAGTGGAGGAGTTTAAGTATCTCGGGGTCTTGTTAACGAGTGAGGGTAGGAGGGATCGGGAGATCGACAGGCGGATTGGTTCGGCGTCTGCAGTGATGCGGGCGCTGAGCCGATCTGTCGTGGTGAAGAGGGAGAGCCAGGCTTTCAATTTACCGGTCGATCTACGTCCCAATCCTCACATATGGTCTTGAGCTTTGGGTAATGACCGAAAGAACGAGATCGCGGATACAAGCGGCCGAAATAAGTTTCCTCCGTAGGGTGGCCAGGCTCAGCTTTAGAGATAGGGTGAGGAGCTCGGACATTCGGGAGGGACTCGGAGCAGAACCGCTACTCCTCCGGATCGAAAGGAGCCAGTTGAGGTGGTTTGGGCATCTGGTCAGGATGCCTCCTGGATGCCTCCCTGGGGAGGTGTTTCGGGCATGTCCTGCCGGCAGGAGGCCCCCGGGTCTACCCAGGACACGTTGGAGAGGTTACATCTCCAATCTGGCCCGGGAATGCCTTGGGGTCCTGCCGGAGGAGCTGGTGGAGGTGGCCGGGAAGAGGACGGTCTGGAGCTCCCTAGTTGGGATGCTGCCCCCGTGACCCGGACCGGGATAAGCGGAGGAAGACGACGACGAGGTTCCAGTAGATGCCAGACACTTACCAAAACACAACCCTAAAGGCTATTTAACTGGTTGTCCCTTTATCTACCTCAAATAGATCTTCACGTACTATTTTATGCCACAACAACAAATAAAATGTTGTAATCAGGGCTTGAAATGTTTTTTTAACACCACAATGAAAATTCCAAGGAAAACTTAGCCTGAAGAACTGTTGCTCAAGGCCACTTTAAAAGGCTAAAAGAACGTCTGGTGCTTTGAAAACAAAATACAGCAATGCTGGATGACTTGTGCACATTAATGCATGTTGTTAGAAATGCAGGTTGATGCTGCAGAATATGTGTTTGCAACAAGCTTCAAGATATACTTTAGCACACAAAAATCTGGCGTACAGGAAAATGGATCATCTCAGTTCCAAAACAAAACAAAGACGTGAAGAGAGAGTTCCGATATAAAAAAAAAAAGACAGATCCGGGTTCAGATCTCTTCAGATGAAAAATTATCAAAAAGTTTTGTCATTTCTTATTAAAAACAATTTGCTCCTTTTATCTTGATGCTAAGAGAACATTCCTGAATCACGTGGAGACAGTGTGCATCTGCTGCCTTTTCTTTGTTCCTCTCCTCTTAATGAGGCCCTGGAACGACTATCCGAGGCCGGTTGCCCTCTCTGGTATGTGAAGAACTCAGCTGAGCAGCCATGGAAAACAAAAGGAAAAAGGAGAAGAGGATGGAAACGAGACTACTATTCCAAACTTCCTGCCAAATTTGAGGTTTGGGAGAAAAGTGGAAAATTTGTCTAAGAGAAAAGAATGTATGGGAAATGGAGGAAAACAGGTGCTTACCAGAGGATGGAAGGGTGGTAAAAATACAACAAATGTCTACTAATCAGTCTAAAATACAAAGCTGGGTCATTTACACTGGAATGAGTCTATATTCATACACCTCAATCGAAAAAAGTGTGACTGGATATAATTATCAGGTGACAGAAATATAACTGGGACTAGGAGCCCCCGTCCCATACGCTTCCCTGCAGACACGCATCAACATGCATATTGACACCAGGATTAATCACATCGACTTAGAAGCAATACCTTTTTCACCCACATAATTCTAAACATACCTCAGAGACACACTGCCCTCGCTTGAGACATGCAGTGTTCAATTATACTAGCCGTCAACTGTTGACACCTTATTTGCTGCCTTTCCTTGTTTGTGACAGAATATTTTGTTGTGGTTTCTGGTTAAAACCGCCTTTAGGGGTGACCAAACATTTAAATGAATGACTGTTGGGAATACCCCCAAAATGGCGAGTACATCAAAATGTTTAGGCTGATTTTAGCCAAGGCCAAAGTGAATTGCAACGGTCTATGTGGAGTAATTTTCTAAATGCTACCATTCATTTTGTCTTGCACGGTTGTTTACTTACAGTCAAATCTGGCAGGAGTTTAATATTTAAACTAATGTTGCATAAAACACTAGAAAAACGTAGGGGATTGATGCCGTTTTTAAGACAGGAACAATATGATTTGGTCCCATCAATTCTGAAGGACTTACATTCTATTCAAAAATTCAAAATTCTATTCAAAGATACTTTTATTAATCCCAGAGGGAAATTAGAGTTTCAGTACACACAATTCTGAGATCAGACATACATAGGCAACGACACATGACAAGAATTCGTGACTGTGGTCATTCGCAACCCTGAGTCGCGCTACCTTAAATGGGCATTATGGAAGTTTGACAGCCAAAACATGTATAGAAATAATAAATTTCTTCTTCATACATTCTCCTGCAATGCCCTGGTCCTGTAGAATGAGCCCTGGCATTTTTATTGTGATTGCCTGTTTTTTCTGTAAAATCACAGAAAAAGAGAGCTGCTCGGGTCGAGTCTTATTTGAGACTCGCCGAACGGCATTGAATTCACAGATAAAAAAGATGTGGGTTCAACTTTCATTTTGGAACAATTTTTCAAGCAAGGGAAGGGAATGATCAGAGCATGCAGGAGAACTGACCCATCATAAACCTTTATCGGCTGTGCTGAAGAGAAAGGTAAAGAACCAAATTATTTAATTAATTAGCTGCGCGTTCTCCTGTCCTCCGGGCCACACACACACACACACAAGAGACTGTCTCAGCTGTTATTTTCGTTAAGGAGTGTGCACGTACAGCATGTGCGCCTCGTGCACGAGCCTACTATTGAAGCTGCCGTTACGCTTTTGGCCTGAGGGGGCAATCGCAAGCATAAAAATTGAAAACTCCGTAAAGTCCCTTTAATAGAGACCAGAGGGGTTACATGAGGATTGGTTCAGGTGGAGGAAAAAAAAAAGGCACTTCAGAGTTACCCTCCACAGGGAGGGCAGCTTTGCTATGCAAAAAAACACCTCATACAGAAATGCAACAGACTTCAGACATCACACAACATAAGTGTCCACTAGGTGGGGTGGTGGGTTTGGGACTCTCCACACGTCAGTGCCTGCGGCCACGATAAGCAGCGCACGTCACCTCAGTCTGGACAAGCGAAAGAGGTCGTTGAGGTTTGGAGGGCACAGTGACTCCTGGAACGATTCGGCGGCCTTCACAGCCCGCAGTCCCGCCCAGGCTGGGGTAGGAGGCAGAGTTGTCATGGCGACGGCAGCATTTCACTTTTCTCCTGAGTGGGGAGTATTCGTTGCAACCTTACAGGCTCAAGGGCACCAGATTCAGATTAGAAATTGTTTTGGGCCAGACAGAGATAATTTCCTCTCTGTCTTAAGTTCCGTTGGTCCTCAACCTCTCAAAATCCCAATAATGGCGTAAATTAATCTATCCCAATCCGTGCTGATTCGTCCACTCCCTCCTTGACGGCATCCATCTTTTGTGCCAATGCATGAATCTCAGTCAAAGTTCCTAGGTTACGATTCATCTCGACAATTATGTGAGTCTGTGAATTCACAGCGTGGTGTAATCCATCCCTGAGCTCGGGGAGAGCGCCAATATTCCTCGACAGCTCGTTAATTTTCCGGTAAGCCAGGAAGCCTCCTAGGCCAACGAGCAGGAAACCTGACACCAACACCGCAAAAATTCAGACGTCCTCAGAATCCTCTACAGACAGCTGAGATAGGTAAATCAGGTTCCACTGTTTCCAGGAGTCCATGATAGTGGGGTCTGTCCCAGAGGGGCATCCCTGAAATACTCAGGAAGCTACTCACAACAATCTGTAAAACATTTACATGAAAGAAAATTTCAAAAAGGCTAAAAATATATATATTTTTAATGGAAACGGAGCGAGCAGTTCTTGAGAACTGTTCCAAGTTTTCTGTGTGCAGAAGCAACCACACATGGTCTAAGGACAGACGACTTTAGAACAGGAGTACATTGAAAGCATTGTCACTTGTCAGATCAATAAGCCTCATACATGAGACCAAAGTCAAAAACAGACTAAACGAAAATAAATGGTCTCTTAATAGCTACAAATACGTTGTGGAGATAAAAAAAAAAAACAAAGGAAAGATTTTATAAAGTGGTTCTCTCGCATTTGTCTAAAAACAGCTGCCAATATTTAATAATTAATTAATTAAATCAAGTGTTAAAAACTGCACAATAGGAGCTCCACAAGTTTCCATCCAAGGCCCATTGCTGTTTTGTCTATACATCAATGACTTACCCAACAGTTGTAAAGGTGCCGTCGTCAATGTAACCGCAAAGATTCCCCAAAAGGCTGCAAACTTACTGAATGAACAGACGGTGGGGGTGTCTTGCTGGTTCTAGAATAACCT